AATATGAAAGATTGACCTTTTCTTACAATAATTAAGAAAAACATTCAATCGTTACATTAAGTAAAAACTCAAACAAACTTAAGACCATCTATCAAACATTTATCTACTAAGTGCTTATCGGGTCATTTATCTTATCAGATCACGAACCGAGAACCTTACCTGGTGAAAACATTGGCAAGAACCAAAAGTCTTACACGGTAAGTGAGGGTGTCGGCTGACGACTCTTATCCGGTTAGGGTTTACCTGGTAAATTGTTATATGATGGAGTAGAATCTTACCCGATACAATAAGTAAGAGTGTTGATTTTTACCAATAAACGATTGGAGATACGGCCCATTAGTTATATTTTAAAATTTGACGAATTAAACATTTTAAAACTATTTTTACTTTTAATAGAAAACAAACTAAGGGGCTGTTTGGCAGTTGCTGAATGATTTAGTTCAGAATAGTTAAGAGGTTAGAATGGCTAAGAGGATCAGAATGGTTAAGTGCTGAATGAAACAAGGCTGTTTGGTAATTGTTCTCTGAATGATAGCAAATTACCATTTTAACCCTAGTTATGATTTAGTACTGAATAAACCAACATACAATTACCAAAGATGATGTTTCTTCATATCAGTATCAAATCCTCAAGAAATTGCAAAATGTCGATAATCCAATCATTATTAACATTGTTACAAACATGAAATAAGCAATAAACACCATCAATTTCTAAAGAAAAATGATAAATTCCCTAAACCAAACCCTAGATTTATGCAAGATCAACGACCTGCTGGAAGAGGCGGAGAGGCGACGAGCGACCAGGCGGCGAGCCGACGAGCGACGATGCGGCGAGGCGGCGAGCGACGAGGCGGCGAGCGACGAGGCGGCGAGGCGACGAGAGACGAGGCGGCGAGGCGACGAGCGACGAGCGACCAGGCGGCGAGGCGACGAGCGACCAGGCGGTGAGGCGACGAGCGACGAGCGACCAGGCGGCGAGGCTACGAGCAACGAGGCGGCGACGAGCGACGAGGCGGCGACGGCGACGTGGGGTGGGGGGAGGGAAGACCGGCGATGTGTGCTGTTGGTGGTTATGGAAGACCGACAAGATGGGGGGAGAAGACGGTGATGGAGGGGGGAAGAAGGAGAGCATAGTTGGAAAAATGAACATCTGAATGGTTTAGTTAGGTATAGGATGCAAAATGGTTAAGAGCCAATTGTCACCATTAAGAGGTTCTATTTTTTTTGCCAAACAGCCTCTGCCTCTTAGCGATTAAGAGGCTGCCTCTTAATGTCACCATTAAGAGGCAAACAAACAGCCCCTAATACTTGATCCTCATCCATCCATTTTAAGACTATTTTTACTCTGCATTATGTCATCTCACAAGAATGATATAACTCAAAAAATGAGAAAATTTGTGAGTAGTTAAAAACTAAACTTGACTTGAACCATGGACGGACCTATGTATGTAGTATAGGTGGCACGTGACACCGTATTATTTCTCCGTCGAAGGGTAAAAAATTTGGTTTCGTGAACGGTGCAACCGTATTAATTTGGTGTGTGCCACCGTATGTATTTTGAAACTACAATGAGAACAAGTTTTATTTGGTAGAGTTGGTTTGAAAGGCTTTTATTCCACCTCAAACCCAAGTCCGAATCATGTTAGTGTCATTTTCTTAATCAAACAGTGCCATCGTTTGAAAAAAATTCCGTATATTTGTTTCTTATAGTTAAACGATGTCACCGTTTGAAAAAAATTTCCTATATTTTTTTCTTATGGTCAAATAGTGTCACCGTTTATAAAAAAAATTCTGGGTCATTTCCTGACTTGAACTCAATTGCAATTTTTTAAACTCGGAACATGTTTGAAGCTTGAACCAAACTCGAACTCTAACTCAAATTTGAATCAAGTTCAAACCATTCTCATCCATTAAAATTTATGAAATTTTATGGTAATCTCTTAAAAATTATAAAATTTAGAGGTGTTCTCTTAAATTTTATAAAACTAACATGATGCACCTCAAACTTCACCTTCAAAAAGACAAAGTTACTAAATGTATTCACCTCCCTCTTTTTTTATAAGAGCTCTTCATCATTCATTTACTATCTCTCTTACAATGTGAGACAACTTTACCAACACTTCTATAGTTTTTTTTTTGTCTTTTTTTAGTTATGATTTTAATATTAAAATAATTGACTAGTTATTATAGTTAAAAAAATGCATAATTTTGTTCAAATATCTAAAAGTATAAAACATTTTTATTATATTATATTATACAAATTATATAATAAAACTGGTTATATTTTAAAACTAATTATATAAAAAAAAATTGAGTATCTCACGAGCTTTCTAAGTCGAGTATTGGGTAGTTCAACTCGACTCTTTAATATGTCGAGTCGAGCTCGAGTTCGTGCCGAGCTTATTCGAATCGAGTGTTGACCAAATTGATATCGAGTAGCTGACCAACTGTCTCATATCAGTTACACCCCTAGTTCCAAGTCAATGGACACATTTTTGTAAGGTTTTGCTTACTAAGCTCTATCTCATTTAATCTAATTTGTGTATATGGAATTGCAAATTGTTTTTATTTTGTTGTTTTCGTAACTTAGAATTTAATTTGATATAGATATTTGTTGCATTTTAATGATCTTAAATCTGAACTGAGGTCTTTGGTGAGAGGTGTTTTTGATTCTATTCCCTAATTGATGAAATTTCATGAAATAAGGCTTAACACTGTTCCATCACCAATGCTACCGCCTAAGCAAGGCTTCACCATTTCTGGTTTGAACCCAGCCTTTACGACATGGAAATGCAAGGACAGGCTTGTCCTGTTATGGCTTGGCTCGACACTCACCAATTCATTACTTGGTCATGTGGCCCGTGCCACTACCACTTCCGAGGTTTGGCTTATGCTTGAGCAGATGTTTCTTGCACAAACTAGGGCACGCCAAATGCACCTCAAACAACAGCTTCAGACACTTTACGAAAGGTACCATGTCAATTCTTGAGTATGTCGAGAAGAAGTGTGCCATCTCGAATTCGTTGGCTGAATGTTTGACGATTGTCTCAGATGAGGACTTTGTGTCCTTTCTTTCATCTGGCTTCGGCCCGGAATACGGGTCTTTCGAATCATCGCTCAACATTTTAATTAAATGGGAAATTTCAACACGAATGCGCATCATCATATCCACCTCGTAGGAACTACGAGATTACCCCAAGGACCCCTTCCATTTTTATATCACATATCCTATTTTGACACCAAGAAACGAATTCTAGAAATAGAAAAGAATGTGGTATGTTGGGAATGTGCTCCTACGTGGTTGCGTATGTTTTTCTACATTTCCAAACGTTGGCTTATTCTCTTTACATTAAAGTTGCTTAACTCCTTAAAGGGAATTCACTAGACCATTTGGTCTAACCATCGTTTTTCAAAACTAAACCATTTTCAGGGAAGTTTTATGGTGAGAGTGACTCGAAGGGAGAGGAAAGGCTTGACCCATCAAGTGGATGGCTTGTCGATACAGTTTCCAATTGTCTTCAGTTTTTTTTTTAAATAATTCTTCATCGTGGAGGTATTTTATTCGCTGCAAACTTTGCTGAGGTATTGAGAAACCTTGTACTTGTTATATTTGGTGCTGATTTGGCTTCAGTTTATGAATATCGTTATTTTTGAATTTGGGCTATTACACAAGCTTAGTTGTTTTTTAGGCTCCTAAAAAAATCCAAGAAGACGACTGCTGGTAAATGACGAATACAAATCTAATGAAAAGAGTAAAAGGTGTGCTACTAAACAAAAATAAGTATGTGATTAGGTCGTATTGTCATTAAATATAAACCTCCTCTGATTTCATATCGTTTTGAAAGAATTTCATATGGTTGTGTGAAATTTTGTGTTCAAGACCGACAAGGTGCTGGCTACTTAGCCTATTGAATGGGGAGATGCATGCAAGTCATAACTAACTGATACAATTTCATTATGTTACCTAGCCAAACCTGCCACCTACGAAGGAAGGAACTCAACAGGTGATCTGTCTGCAAGAAAGGCTTATTGAATGTGTATAATAGGTGAGTTCAATATTGAAAATTTGATGAAAATAGCCAATTTCACGAGTGGTTTCGCTTTTTAGCCATTCGATTAAACAAGTGGTTTCACTTTTTAGCAATGACAAATTGGATACCACAAGTACCAAATCTACAATAAACATATCATAGGGACCTCGGTCAAAAAAAAAAATATCAAAATACAGGGACCAAATCCACAATTCACTTTTTTACGTGAAAATACATATTAATATGGGTTTGAGACTTTAAAATAAAAATGTTATCTTAATTATGAATTTTTTTATTAAAAATAATGATAGAGTATTTTATTAAGACTCAAGGATAGTTTAGTAAATGATAATTACATTTAAGATATTATATATGTAAAATAAAAATAGATAATATATTTTAATAAAAAATAAAAATGAGATGTTTTATCTCTAATTTTATTGTGTTTATCAGTTAGTTATGTAAATTCAAAAATAACACTTTTTGATTTTATAAAATTGAAATTACAAGATAACCATCATGGTTTGTAAAAAATCCAAATTTGTTCCCTTCTTCTACCAGAAGTTAATTTTTTTTTTGTTAAATTAAAGACATTTTCATCTTTTTATCATTTTTTTGTCTTTTACACGTTAAAGAACCATAGGGACCAAAATTACATGATTGATTTTAATTAGGCAAAAGAAAACGATAAACGAACTAAAATACTTCTCATTTGATGGAGTTTTTTATAGCCATTAAAGGGAGAGACCAAATTCGAACGTTTTTACAAACCACAATGGACTTTTAGTAATTTTAAAACTATAGAAACGAAAATTGTTATTTTCAACAAACCACAAGAACCAAATGTGTATATATCCAAATTCTATGTTTTAATAAGGCCCAATAGATAGGCTAATGGTCCGTTAACAAAAAAGCCCATTGTAATGAAAGTCCAATTACATATGAACCTACTATATACAATATACATAATACTTGAGTTAGGGTTCCGTTTTTTGGTCAGCCAACTACCGCAAAACGCTGCTGAACGGAGGAAAAATCCAGGTTCGTTCTACAAGCGGCTTACTTCCATTCGATCGATGAATTGATGCGTGATTTAATGTAGAATTGTTATGATATGCTTGTCGACAATTATGTTTTTTTGTTCATGTCGAGTTTTCTGCATTAATTGTTTGTTCGTGTAAGCAGGAGTGTTGTATAATGCTACTGTGTCTGTACAGTTCAGTTATTTTTTTTGCATTCTGTTATAATTTCGTACTACTTTTTTATTTTTATTTTAGAAGCTTTCTGGTGTTTGAAATGTCATTTCCCCAGTAGCGGGAATTAGGTTTTGATGTTTAAATATGATTGGATCGATTTCATTAGCTGATAGGCAGATGTTTAGTGTTTTAGAATTCAGGTATTACAGTATTTGGGGGATATGTGATCAGCTTCATGTATTAGATTACTACACTGATATGAGGGTTTTAGGGTAGTTAGGGCATATTATATTCCAACTGCATACGCTAGTTAGCCCATTAACTTAATTATGCAGGTTTTGGTAATTGAAAAGTTCATATCGTAAATGAGGATAGTATGTATTTTTGAGATGTAATTCCCTTAAAATACTGCAAGAATTCAAAATCAGGGAGCTCTATCGTAGCTGAGCCTTTAAATAAATAATTAAATGAACAAAAATAGACTAGCTGCAATTCCTATGAGCAGCTGTTCCAAGAATTATGCTTATGGAACGAGGATCTTATTGCTACCCAAGATGAAATGTTTACCGAATCATATGGCCATAGCTTTCAGTTCATTGATTTATAGGCTAGGAAGTTGCTTGTTGCTACCCTTTTGTGTTTTGAGTATTGATAATACCTGTAAAACTTGTGGTGTTGTATAAGGTAATATATTGATTTGTACTTGAATGAAATTCTGTTTTCAGCACAAAATGGCTCCAAAACAGCCAAATACTGGACTCTTTGTGGGTCTAAACAAAGGACATGTTGTGACCAAGAAGGAACTAGCACCACGCCCTTCTGACAGGAAAGGGGTAAGTAATCAATCGTGTAGTGCCCATGTGGCCATTTATAAGAACATCTAAATCGTAATATCGGGCGTCTTATTTTGCCTTTTGGTTTGTTTAGAAAACAAGCAAGAGATCACACTTTGTGCGAAACCTTATCAGAGAGGTTGCTGGRTTCGCTCCTTATGAGAAGAGAATTACTGAACTTCTGAAAGTTGGAAAGGACAAACGTGCCCTCAAAGTGGCCAAGCGRAARTTGGGCACWCACAAGAGGGCAAAGAAGAAGCGTGAGGAGATGTCCAGCGTTCTCCGCAAGATGAGGTAACTCCCAAACTTTACTTTTGTTATGCTTTATGGTAAGTGCTATGTTATATCCGAGTATGATTCATTTTCTTTCTATGAAAATGTTATGTGGTTTTTGTAGGTCTGGTGGAGGTACTGAGAAGAAAAAGTGAGTTTTTGTTGTTGAGAACATAAAGATCTATTGAGATTTTACGTTGAATAGAGTAGCGGTTTTGGGTATTTGTTGAACCTCCTTGTATTATGTTTATTTCGACTAGACTCATTTATGCAGACCACATTAGTTCGTCCTTGCTCTGTGATTTGCCAATGGTTACTTGATTATATTTTCAACTTTGGTTTTCTGCGTCTTGTTTGGGACTATGGGCAGTAAAACTGCTGGGGGTCGAAATCTGTATATTTTATTGTTTCTTTTTGTAATATAAATACGTTTTGCAACCTGCCTTTGGTCCTCCAAACTGATGAATTTGTAGATCAGTGACCACCCGTAGCATCTAAGGGGTCGTTTAGTAAGCGCTTACCTGGTAAACAGTTATCGATAAGAGTAACAATTCTCACTTATCTTGTGGGATAATATTCTTGGCCATTGTTGTTAAGCATCTTTTCATCAGTAAGCCCTAGCTAGGTAAGGGGCTATTTGGTTGGTTTTCTATTTATGGATGTTTACCTAAACGCCTACCCGGTAAACACTTATGAGTAAAATTCAACATTATTGCTTACTTACCGGGTAAGATTTTATTCACTAAAACGTCTTGTATGCAACAATTTCTTCTGGTAAGCGCCAACCATTGTAAGAGTCCTCATCCTTACTTACCGGGTAAGACTTTCGATTTTTGTTTTCACTCTTACTGGGTAAGATTATTAGCCCTTACCATATTCATCCGGTAAAGTAAAATTACTTGGTAAATGCTTACCCGGGTAAGCGTTTGGTAAACGGCACCTTAGAGGTCTAAAAACTTACACATATTCAACAATTAATCGTAAAATAATACTTAATAAGTAGTTTTATATAAAAAAAAAACCAATTTTTTTTAAAATAAATACGTCCGACTTCAACTCTATCTCCAATCACTATTCTATTTTAACAATTACAATAGTAATTATGTTATCAAATATTATATAAATGCACCATCCTAATATATTTTTATAAAAATATAAAAAATCATAATAATTTTAACACATTGAATAAAAACAATTAAAATAGTATACATATTTTTTAAATATTAAACTTTAAAACTTTCTCCAAATTTAAAGACATATACATTCTCTTTGATTTTTTCTGTACCTTAATTTACATTTAACCATCATTATTGTAATTCAAAGAAAACCTTAAAATCTTATATTTAAATTGTCTATTTTACGCATTAGAAAATTGTAGTGTTGAATGTATAGACAAATTTATACAACTTCATATATTTATTCATCATCATTACGAAATTTACATCTGAATTATATAATTAGCATTCATTTAAATGAAAATATGTCATTGACGGTATTTAACATATTTAAATCATATTAAAATACATCAATTAAAAGAGGTGATGATTGGTTTGGTAAGGATCGATTAGGAGAAAGAAAAAATTAAGGTTAATCAATTAAGTAACATCGTTGCTGAAGGTTAGGGAATATTAAGAGACAAATAAAAGGTTATGAGTTGTTTGAAAGTTGTTGAATGGTTTGATGGAGAATGATTAAGTGGTCAAAATGATTAAGAGATTCTCGTGATATAGTTTAAAATGAAATATAATTGTTTGGTAATCGTTTACATTGAAATTAAGGCGCTTAATGGTTAAGGGAGACATAGGATACAAAATCATTCAGAGGGTTTTAGAAACATTAAGAGACAGTCTTTTCTTTTGTTAAACAAGATTTATCTTTTAACGATTGAGATACTGATTTTTAATAGAACTATTAAGAGGTAAACAAACAGTCGGTTAATATATCTGTTAGTGGATAAAAAGATAAAAAACATAAGTGCTTTAAACCTGTGTAATTAAAATGGGGCCTTTGTATGGTGTGATCCTCACCCCACAAGAATGGTATAACTCAAAAAATTGGCCCTCTCGTAACCATCGGTTTCCCGTTTACGTTATCGGAGAAGGGACCGGAGGATCCTCCTTCCGAAAAACTCGATTTTAGAAGAATCGGTTCCAAGTCAACGTATAAGGTTTTGCTTTACTAAACCTCTATCTCATTACATCTAATTTCTGAATGTGGAATTGTGATTTCTTTCTCTTTTGATGTTTTGGTAACCCACGACTTAATTCGATCTAGATGTTCCTTGCATTTTAATGATCAAAAAATTTGAGCCGATGCATTTGGTAAGAGGTGTTTCTGATTCATTTGACGTAGATTTTATACCCTAATCGATCAAATTTCAGGAAGTTACACCGGTTAATCGTTTATATGGCCATGAAATCAGTGAATTTTGACAGTACTTGCAAATGTATGTGCGTATTTCACCTGTAGGGGTTGGTTGCAAATTTGTACATCGGTGTAATCCGACGATCTTCAAATAGAAAGGGGTTTTGTTTTTGCAATTGACCCAAATTGATGCAATTTGTATGATGTTAATATAATTGAGATCTGTAGGTAAACATTGAAAATTTTCTGTATTATGTTTAATTGATGAATTCTAAACAAAGTCGTGGTTGGGTCCAAGCACATGTTTTGACCAAGTTAGCATTCAAATCGACTTGATTTGCGTTTGTACATCCATATGTTAGTTCACGACCTTAAGATTAATGGTTTATCTGAGATCCATTTCACAACATCAATCAATGTTTTCTTCATTCCTTAGACCCAAGTGATGTAATTTGGATCCTGTAATCAATAAGCAAAAAAAGAAACTTTACGAACTGACACAGACTTGATGAATCCGAAATCCGAAGACCGAATTAACTTGAAACAGTATGTGGGGTGTGTGTGTGTTGTATATATAATGCTATTCATATTGAGATGTGCTTCTTTTGCAATTCCAAATATTGCTTTCAGGCCAGTGTTTTAATTTAAACCTGCAAGGATGTGTGTAAAGTAGCAGCTGTAGTATGTTGTAAAACATGCTCTTTAAATTTTACAGGTGGTTGCAACAGTATGGAACTTATGGAAAGTGGGTCAGAGGGTTCATGTGAAACTTTTTTTACACAATCATCATTGATTAGTGGTCTCCCAGATGACATTGCTCTAACCTGCTTGGCAAGGATTCCTCGTAGATATCATTCCCTCCTCAAATGCGTTTCAAGGAAATGGCGAGATTTGGTTTACAGTGAAGAGTGGCATTCCTATCGTCAAAAGCATAATTTGGCTGAGACTTGGATTTATGCTTTGTGTAAAGATAAATTGGAACAACTTTGTTGTTATGTGTTAGACCCGAACATGCCAAAGAAAGGTTGGAAGCGTATCCCTGACCTCTCACCTTCTTGCTCGAAAAGAAAAGGTGTAGGCTTTGAAGTGTTGGGGAGAAATATATACTTTTTGGGCGGATGTGGTTGGATTGAAGATGCCACTGATGAAGTTTACTGCTATGATGCCAGTAGGAATGCATGGAGTGAAGCTTCTCCCTTGTCAACTGCAAGGTATTATTTGTTGATTCTTAATTAATGCAACCTATTATGGAAAATTGTCAAAATCTTTTCTAATGCAAATAATATACATACAAATTGACATCATATTTGTCTTGTGCATATTTTCACACTCCATTTCTTTTAGTCTTTGGAACTATGGTTGATGTTGTCTTTATTTCCCACATGACTCCCTTTACGAACATGTGAACTTAGAATAAACCTCCTGCTGATCAGTGATATCATTTTTGTACAGTGTGGTCGGTATCTCAAACTTTCGTATATATGAATACCAGTCTACTTGTAAAAATGCAGATAAGTATATATTTGAAATTTTGAGCAGGCAGAAAATAGCGAAAGAAAAATTACAGTTGGCAGAGAATAGTAGTTCTCTAGTTTTTGTCTACTGAAGTGTGCCTTTTCCCACTTGACATACGTGTTGCTTGTTTACAAAAGAAGGATGACTACAATTGTCCCGAATGCCAATCACTCTTTTCTTAGACATGAAAACGTTTTGTATATATTCAAATGTGTAGATAGATATATGCGAGGTTATGACATTCATAGCATAACTTCCTTAACGTCCTCTCTTCTTTATTGCCATTAGTGATCTCTGGTTGTGCTGTTGTATTTTTACAAGAGTAAACATGCCTCGCTGCTATGACCGTGTTTATATTAATTGGTGTTAGAGAACCTGTTAAATTTGCGGAAGTACTCGACTGAAGATATACTGTGTCGATGTGATTAGGATGTTGCATGAGTATAAATGAACAGAACCAGATCAAACAGAAACTAAAAATTAGGAAGAGTGATAGCAAAGAACTGGACCAGGAGATGTCAGTTCCATCCTAGTTAGGGACTGTGAACTCAAAACCTTAACTTTAGGGTCTTCTTACATTTTTTCTTCATTTTACTTTTTGAGGTCTTCCTAGAACATCTTATATGGATAACCTACGAAGCATATATGCTGCCTAGAGCATGTTCACCAAATCATACATATGCACCCTTGTCAATCCGTCTTGTTAAATAAAAAGGTGAAAATAGAACTGCTCTGGTATGCTTAACGGGTGTGTTCCCTAAAATATAGGAATCAAGAACTGGACTATATGTCGTAGGTACATCTTAAATTTGTTGGTTTTGTCAGCTTGGACTTGACTTACTAAAAAAACCAAACCGAACATCTAGAAAATGCCACTCAGAACTCAGAAGTAGAGTCTGGTTTGGACCAACTTACTCGCATCCCTAATTGTTATCTCAGATGCGGACACCGAATATTTTTCTAGCGGGGGCACAAAGTATTTAACATAATGTAGAATAAAACACAAATTAATCATAAAAAGTACAGTTTAATCAAAAAATGACATACAAGTGGTATTTGGCAACACCCAGTTGGTTTTTCCTTCTTTCTGCTGCTGTGAGCCTGTGACCAAAAAATTAAAAAAATAACAAAGGGGTTCGAACTTGCAACCTGTAATGCCATATGGAATGACACTGTCAATAGGATGCAACCACTTTTTGTTAACTTAGGGGAGCACACATCAAATTAAAGCTGCTAATAGGGTAGGGGCATAGCACCCTAATTTCTTCCCCTGTTGCATCGGGACAATAGGGTAGGGGCATAGCACCCTAATATTAAATCCGCACGTATGTGATCTAATGAACAAATTAAGTGCTGGTGAGCAAAGATTATTCATTTATTTGGTTTTGCCATTTTCTTCAGGTGTTATTTTGCTTGTGAAGCAATTGATGGTAAAATGTATGCAATTGGCGGGCTAGGATCAAAATCGAGCGACCCACATTCCTGGGACACTTTTGATTCCAACATGAACTCATGGGCATCTCATATGGATCCTAACGTTGTTCCTGAAATCGAAGATTCTCTAGTTCTAGACGGAAAAATTTACATACGATGTGGGTCTTCTGCTGTATCTTCTCACATTTACGCGGTCGTGTATGATCCACTGAATGGCACGTGGCAGCATGCTGACTCCGACATGGTCTCTGGCTGGCGGGGTCCAGCCATCGTAGTAAACGAGACCCTTTATGTATTGGACCAGAGTTCAGGAACCAGAGTGATGGTATGGCGAAAAGATACTCGAGAATGGGAAGCATTTGGGAGATTATCATCTATACTTACAAGACCACCTTGTCGGCTTGCTGCAATCGGTAATAAGATATTTGTGGTCGGAAAGGGGCTTAGCACCGTGGCTTTTGATGTCGATAAGGCTGCAAATATGGATGGAGTGTTGGTTAGTACTTCCGCACCAAAGTTACCTTCTGACGACGATGTAATTAGCTGTAAGTCTGTTTCTTTATGACTTTTTTTCTCGCATTCGGTAAGACTAAGTTTTGTTCAATTGTGAACCGTACCTATGTCTAGCTCGAAATACGATTACTACATGAACGATGGATTTGGGATCGTCAAACCTGTTGTAAATGTTAAAATTTCACCTAAAATCTATGCATCATGTTTATGTGGATTTTGTTTGTTGGGTTTGGTCCGGAATGTTTGGCACGCGGGAGGGACATTATACCGAGACACGATGGACTTGAGTAAGACGAAAATGCATTTTTGTCGACTAAAACAGGTGGAACAAAACTCATGGAGACGAGACAATATTAGTAAATTACTAAACTATCTCTGTTAATCAAAAATTTTCCAGAATTCTTTCACCCGCCTACCTCATCCTCGCAGGTCAAGTCCACTTTCATCCTGTCCGGTCCTCTCCCAGCCATATCAAACGCATTAGGGAAGTAAAAACATGTGAGCAATTACAAATAATCTGAAGTCATAATTAGAGATGCACGGAGCCCGAGCCTTCCATATTCTGGTTCCAATTTCCCGATGACTTGATGATCCTGGTTTCAATTTATCAATGAGCATGGTTCCGATTTATCGACGAATCTGGTTTCGATTTCCCCATGACTCAATGAACCCGGTTTCAATTTATTGATGACTCAATGAACCTAGTTTCAATTTGTCGATGAATTCACTCAAAAGCTTCAATACACTCAGGATTGACTCGAGTTCGATCTTAGTTCATCATTGATTTTCGTTGGAATTGGCATAACGTGCTCATAAGGATTGTGATTAGGAGGACATAAGGGTATATGATGAGATCGGATTCAATGGTCCCTAGAAGAAAACAGAAGGGGCGATGGGTATGAGTCATCTATCGAAAATGGCTTGAAAATGGGTTGTCGGAGGTGGAAAGAAAGTAATGAGCGGTGGTTAGTGAACCTGCCGGGACTTTTTTGGGGGACGACGAACTACTCAAACATACAACATGTATATTATCTTTAATGTTTTTAAGAAAAAAATGTAAAATGACCATATTACCCTTAATTTAACATGGCAAAGGTTAGTGGAGTTAGGACCGAGGGACTCAATCCGTAAATAAAATGAAACCATGATAACTATACATGTAGTTATTTTATTTGAGGGACGCAATCCAAAATTTTAGATAACCATAGGGACGAAATTTGTAATTTACTCAAAATAAAATTAATAATGCAAGGGAAAATAGAATCCAACACTAGGGCTGTAAATGAACTGAACGAACACGAAATGATGTTTGTTTATGTTCGTTCATTCAACTTAACCGACTAAACGAACAAACGCGAACGGTAAACGAACGAAATTCTTTGTGTTCGTGTTCGTTCGTTTAGAAATCATGTGTGTTCGTGTTCGTTTATATTCGTTCGTTAACATGCTAAACGAACGGGTCTAAACGAACATAAACGATGAAAATGTAAAAAGTTCAAATAAGCAAAATGATGATAAAATTTAAATCTAAATAAATTCTAAAAAGTTAAAACTTAAATAAATATTATTTGAATTCAAACTAAATAAATAAAATATTATATATAAACGAACGTAAATGAACAAATGTTCACGAACATAAATGAACGAACGAGACTCTTATTCATGTTCGTTCATTTAACTAAACGAACAAACAAATTTGTTCATGTTCGTTCATTTATTAAATAAACGAACATAAACGAATTTCCCATCGAACGGTTCACGAACCCGTTCGCCGAATGTTCGATTCGTTTACAACCATATCCAACACGGGACCTCTTCCATTCAAAACTAATGTCATAAGCGGAGCCACGTTAGTCATCTAATCTTTATGATATAAAATGAAATATTTAAAGTTAAAGTTATTTATATATTATTAATTCATAATTGTTATTTGATAAATGTTTGTTGTATATCTATTAATTTAACATTTAACAATCATGGATAAGTATCTGATAAAGAGGAAATCAATCAGTGATTCATAATTTATGTTAAATAAGAAGAATCTGCATGGCTGTAAACACAAGTCCTATAAAAAAAAATTCATCGTTGAATCTGTAAATGTTGCATTTCAACAATTCTTTATCATCGTATTTGTCATTTTCATAAATTAATAATTATGTTTATTTTGTTTGGTGCTCGCTCTCGAACAAATTTTTAACTCCGCCCCTGCAGTAAACACCTTAAATATAATATCTCGATAATATTAGAATACTATGTTTATAGATCAACTAAAAGAATAAAACAGTAACATAATATAGTGCAAAATGAAATATAATATTAGAATACTATGTTTATAGATCAACTAAAAGAATAAACCAAATGTAAATGATTTTAAAATGCCAGCATAACACACAGGGTTTCTATTGGATCAAATTATCCTTTTAAAATGTTTTGCAGTAACTAATGGGCTTTTTGGTAGTTGCTGAATAGTTAAGTGGTCATAATGATTAAGAGACTAATGCAAAATGAAATATAGTTGTTTGACAATTGTTTACTATGAAATTAGAACGCTGAATGGTTAATGGAGGCTTAGGATACATAATTATTGTTTTAAAACCGTTAAGAGGTAGACTTTTTTTTTTGCCAAACAAGATTCACCTCTTAACGATTTAGAGACTACTATCTTTTAATAAAACTATTAAAAGGTAAACAAACAAGATATAGATTTGATTTACTCATTCCTCACCAATCAACCATGGCGAAATATTCTATGTTACCAATCAAACCCTTTTCCATTTCTCGGTAACTCAGCATATTCTTGTTCTTATTTGTCTGCTCAACTTTTTATCCTCCTTAATCTCATCGGCCATTATATATATATATATATATATATATATATATATATATATATATATACACTTGTAAACCTTCAATGCTGTTTCCTTCCAACTGAATCTTGGAGCCTGGGTATGCCATGGATGTCTCAGCTGCTGATCCTCCTTCATCACCTTCCATGGTAAGTTTATAGGACGTTTTTGGATGTCTTAACAAACTTTTTAGGACACTTTTGAAACCAAGTGTTCTATTCGTCCTGTTATACGACATTATTTGAAAAAGTCTCGTATACAAAGTTATGTTTATAAGACACTTCCTATTAAATAGCTAATAAGACCGTTTGTTTCCTAAAAAACTTGATAAGACGTACAAAATCATCATATGAACTTAGTATAACACTTTTAGACCAGAAGTATTTGATCTTATAAACTTATATCTGTATGTATAATATTGGGTCAAGGTTAGAAGTCAGATCTGCATACATCTTATCATCTACGACCCCAGTTCTAGATGATATATAATGGGTTTGTTTGGTTTAGTTTCTTCATTTCTTTAATTTTTGCAAATTCCATGTTTGGGTAGCAGCAAATGCAAGTGCAAAAATCCGATACCGATGGCCCATATCGCCTTCTCTATTGCTCGAGTAAGGGAAACAAATGGGGTGTTATGCAAGAGCTCGATAAGGGAGTAGAACCGAACGTGGGAGATTACGATAGAAGAAAAGCACTTCACCTAGCTGCGTGTGAAGGCTGTACCGAGATTGTTCTCCTGCTTCTCGAGAAAGGCGCCGATGTCAATTCTACGGATCGTTGGGGTCGCACCGTAAGCTCATTCTCTACCAAATGGAAAAACCGAGATCATGAAATTGTATATTTACTTACATGATTATATTTGCAGCCACTTTCGGATGCTCGTAGCTTAGGTCACTTGGAAATATGCAAAATCCTCGAGGCGCATGGAGGAACTGATCCGGTACTTCACTTCCTTAAACACGGGTTATTTAGCTAAACGATCTTCTTCGAGTAAAACCTTGGAAAAATACTAGAATGTTAGTTTATAGAAATGACTTCTAACCACAAGGGTGGTGCCTGATTGGTTTGAGCTTGACTCCAAAAGGTCAAAAGTACCAGGAGGTCACAGGTTCAAATCCAAGTAGAAATGAAAATCCCCTTGTGGCCACGGAGGTTCAAAATGTGGTGACTCTGGGAAGCAGGTGGTCTCCCTAGGATTAGTCGGCTCCATTCCGGTCATTAATGCTCAACAGTCTTTTTTTTATATTAATCTGGATATCCGACCCGGTATGCGAGCCGACTATAAATCAGATCATGTCATTTTTCTACAGGTTGGACGTGATTCCCAAACTCCGTGTTACCAAATTCATTACTCCGAAGTTCATATGAAAGAAGCAATTCTTATCGGCGAAGTAAATACTTCATTTCACTTCTTTTTTCAGAAAAGTTTGAACGAATCGCGTACTAAAGAAACCCGATAACGTGTGTTAATCATGCGACATATGACAGCAGGGTGCATTTGGTGAAGTTTATAAGGTAAAATGGCGTGGTACTGAAGTTGCTGCGAAGACAATACGGTCTTCAATTGCATCGAATGAGACGGTCAGGTGAGCGTTGACCTATCAAGTCAAACCCAGTACTTTTCGTACTAAACGTAACTGAATCAAATAAGCCCAGTATATCCCACTCTAAAATGATTGCTTCAAATGAGACAGTGACGTGAGCATTCACCAATGAAGGTCAGACCTAGTGGGGTCTTGTTTGGGGATGTAAGATGTATGTGGACCTGACCTGACCTGACCTGAAAGAGGAGAGAGAGAGAGAGCAGTTGTTTCCGAGAAGACCCAACTAGTGAGAATTGTGTGAACCAATGAAAGTGAAAACATAAAGAAAGATGTGAGTGAGCAACAACAATATAAACAAAGGCAAGTACAAGAAAAAATTAGCATGCTTGACGGTTAAAAGTCACATATGAACGCATTAATACTCATCTAGCCATTCGAGCTTTACGTTTTCAAACGTGTTACAGGAAAGCATTTTTGAAGGAACTCGCGTTATGGCAAACGTTGCGCCATCCGAACATAGTGCAGTTTCTTGGGGTTTTGACGGACTCGGACCGCCTCATTTTCTTAACCGAGTATCTACAAAATGTTGGTATTCTTGTTTTTGCATAAGTTGTTTGCTAATGTTTAGCGTATCTGGTTTTCTCCCTTTCTCGCTAGCTCTTCATGGAAACAACCGCTCTACTATTTGGGGTAGAAGTCACCCCACCCGGATCCCACCTCCAAGTGGGATATACTGGGCTCATTTGGTTTGACTACTAGGTCAACCCTTTTGTGGTTATTTTCTTTCTAGACTAATATTTCCTTAAAACATGGGAATTTTTAGGGAAGTTTGTATGATATTCTAAAAAAGAAAGGAAGACTTGAACCGGTAACCGCTGTTTCTTATGCTTTGGACATCGCAAGGTATCATCTGTTTCCTTAGTGTTTGAGATATACTGAGTTCGTTTGGTCTGATTTGATTTCATCTGTCACGCAAACGATTCAAAATTCAATGTTATGATTTTGAAGTTTGACACAAAAAACACGTTACTTTTAAAATCTGCAGGGGTATGAATTATCTTCATCAACATAGACCTCATGCTATAATACACAGGGATTTGACACCAAGGTAAGTACCTGATCAAATCAACTTACAACCATGGTCAAAATTATTGGTAGCCCACAACTTAAGACTTATAACGAGTTCAAAAATCTAATGTTCTATTAATCTTGAAACATCATTTCTTTCTGATGGGGAAATTTTGTTTCAGAAATGTACTGCAAGATGAAGCTGGGCGTCTGAAAGTCACGGACTTCGGATTGAGCAAAATTGCGCAGGAGAAAGATGTTTACGGATACAAAATGACCGGAGGAACTGGATCATGTATCGGATTTTGCTACTTTTTTTTATAAATATATAAACAATGAAGTTTCTTGAAATCTTCTTTAGATCATACGATCCGTCTTTTTTTGTGATTCTTTCAGATCGATACATGGCTCCTGAAGTTTATCGTCGGGAATCGTATGGAAAGAGCGTTGATGTTTTCTCGTTTGCTTTGATTGTTCATGAAGTAAGTCCTACTCGGGGGTTGTTTGACTGGTTTTCCATTGAATCCCGTATGGATAAAACTGACCCTATAGATTAATGTGTCTGTATAGATTCGGATGGTTTTGTTTGGTGGAGTATTTTCATAGATGGATAGAGTGTGTTCTTTAATTGAAAGGGACATGTTTAGAAAACTTGACTTTCTACATAAAGTCCCCCTATAAACTTACTGAATATGCCACTTTTTTATATCATTAAGCACTGCAAAACAGTCAGATAGCTGAACGAGTAAGTTGTGAGTCCCATTAAGCTCATTAAGCTAATTCTCCTTCCTGGAAAGGTTTTGACTTCTTATGGTCAAATCAACCAATCTCAAAATGCAAAATTGGTGTAAATTGTCAAATTTTAGCGGAAAATCGAGGATAAAACTGAAAATCATGTTAAAGAGATTAGTAAAGGGGAACTTTTTAATCTTTAACACGAAATTAGTCGGCTAAATTTAGAGTTTTTTCTGTGTCATTTGACTTCAAAAGTCAAAGTATGCATAGTCTTCATCTTTACAATGTTCATTTGATCTGCTTATTCTGTATTGTTTGCATATTCAGATCTTGCATCTATATGTGGCTTTAGATGTTTCAGGGAAGACCATCTAATCGAGAAGAACCACCTGAGCACGTGGCGGACAAACGTGCATACGAGGATTCGAGGCCGCCTTTACCGTCATATTACCCGGAACGCATAAGGGAGTAAGTTACTTAAAGTGCTCGTTTCGTTTCATTAATGTAACTTGTGAGTGAATTTGGTACTCGGATGGAATTGGATTGGACTGGACCGGACGAGCGAGACTGAGGTAGGCAGGTGAAAAAATTCCGGAAGGTTTTAGCGTTCTAATTTGACATGGGTAGTATAGTGATTTACCAGTTTTATTCCATCTTCCTGATTTTTGTTCTACCGGATGACATGGAAAACCTTTGATTTTATAGGCTTCTAAAACAATGTTGGCATCGGAATCCTGCTGCGAGGCCAATGTTTGAAACTATAATAACAGATCTCGAGAGCATTTTGGAGAATGAACAACGGAAGGTGGGGATTGGATCTTGCCATAGCTGCTTAATCTTATGAGACGAGTTGTTACAGTTTGGAGATATGTTTTTTTGCATTTTGTACGTGTGCGCACGCACGCACACACACATATATATACATACACGCATATACATATATACCGTCTTTCAGTTCTTCATGTTGGTTTGTTGTATTATACAAATATGAAATGCTATGTATAAAGATGTGGATTATAAGATTTGTTTATCTCATGAGATGAGTTTTGTATCATAAATAAATTATTACATCAAGAACACCGTTATCATATGTAATAATACACGTAAAGGGGACATAATGGTGTATGAACGACTTGACCCGAAACCTAGATCAAAATCCACGTCTCTGATTTAGTATCACATGGTATCATATGTGATTGACTATAGTAAAATGATGTTCTAGTATTCTCGTAAAATGAAGGTATTCACGTTTTATATAGACAAAGGATCGTGCGAGAATAGGATTTAAGGTGAGAAATGTAAGAAGCGATTTGGACCCTTGATCACTTTTAATCCCAAAACAACCCATGAATTGCGTTTATAAGGTAATTGATCTAGTGGTTCTCTTCAATCAAGATTGATTCAAGGGTGGAGATTCTTTCATACCCTTCTCATGGTAACTACTTTCATTATTACCGGAACCCAACCATATATACATATATAACATGAACATAAATTAACCATACATAAAAATATACAACGTATTCATTCATAGGATTGAGTTTTGATGAGAAGAAGAGTTAATATGAGAAGCGTAAGAAAGGGTCTCTGCACTTGGATGTACATTAAGATGAGATGCACCAAGATTCACCGAATGAATTCATTTCTAAAACACAATTCATGGATGAACATGAGATAAAAGTGATCAAAGACTCAAGTCTCTTTTTACGCTTCTCAGCATAACTTCCCTTCTCACAAAATCATTCACATTCATTCCTATACCAACCCAACAACAACCGAAATCATAAATCTCATTTTCACAACATACCACCATGAAATATGGAACCCAAGCACAATCGATGCAACTATGGCTTTGTTATTGGCTTTATTCATGCCATTTTCTTCATAACCTTGGCATGGTCCATGCCATGTTTCAACATATATGTTTTTTTTAAATGTTTATTAACTTATGTGGTATCAAATCAGAATTAAATAAAACAAGGTTAAAATTATAATAAGCAGTTTTTCATAAGTGAATTAACTTATCAAAAACAACTTATTACCAGTTTGGCCCCGGTATAAACTATTTTTTTTTCTTATCCAAACACCAGAAAATAACTTATCACTGGTGTCAGACTGAAATAAGTTAAAAAACAACTTTTATAAGCAATGTCAGACACTGCTAAAGATTATATAGCTAAATAACTCCCTAAATGCTCTCGTCTTCAACCTTGCACCAATTTGAGATTCAAAACCCTTTTAATCCGTAAAATAACTTTCCGGCATGTTTGGTAACAGACAATCACTGCCCAGAGCTTCAGTCCTACTTTGATCTATTCAAATTCACAAGTTGTTGGTCAAATCCAGGTTTGCAATCGATAGTTTCCCCAAAGATTTTCTGTATTCCTGTTGGGTTTTCATTCATATCCGTGAACAATGTATTGCCAAACGCTTCCAATTTCAAATTATAATCTCAATCCCACGAACACCTCATCTTCGTTTCACTGCTTAAACCCTAACGCACAGCCAATCCAATTTGCTAAATTTCAATCCGTTTCGAAATTCAGATTTGGGTTTTGTAATTCAATCAGAAGGGTATCTGTTTCACCAAACAATTTGAGGAAACATGTTGGATTAGTTGGGATTAGATGTGAAGGGTTACAGGGGAAAGAGGATACGAAAGATGATGATGATAAAGTTTATATAAAGAGGTGTTTGGAGCTTGCTAGAAAAGCTGTTGGGTGTACCAGTCCTAATCCTATGGTTGGTTGTGTTATTGTTAAAGATGATAAAATTGTTGGTGAAGGGTTTCATCCCAAAGCTGGCCAACCTCATGCTGAGGTAATTAATTACTCTCTTTGCTGTTCTTCCTGTCTGTGATTCCACATTTGAAGTTTGAAAAGGCTGCTTTTTAGATCAAAATAGCCAGATTTTGTCATTGTTTTTAGTTACATTGAATGATAAAGGAAAACCTTAAATCAGAAACACTCTGGTGCCATAATCTTTGGAGATTTTGTTTCAAGTTGAAGCTCTATGGAGCTTCTATTGTGAGGGAGGAATAGAATGTTAGGATCGATAGGCAATCACACAAATCCAAAAGGGAACGAAAAAATCAAACATGGTCAACAATTTGTTTTGCTGTTGATAGGATTTTATTATATGATTCCTGGATCATGTTGTAGCAGCAATGCATCAAGAATCACGAGTCAACTTCAAATTTAGATTTTAGTTGTAATTTTATAACCATCATATTGGCGTTTATGAACCACGAACGATTATGTTTAGTTGAGCTTGGTTTGGTTACAATATTTATAAGATCAAATAGAAAAGTTAAACAGCCAATCTTGGTTGAGGTACAGACCTTGATAGGCTTAATAACAAGAAATTGATGGACTAGAGGTGTGTTTGGTCTTCGTACCTTTGTTATGTTTTCTTACAACCGCTCTTTTTGTATGCGTTATCTGTTTATATGTTTCAATGTTCTCGTTTTCAAGTTCTCTTTATTGTATGTTTTGTTATCACTTCTTCCACGCTTTGTACAAGCCGGAGGTCTTCACAGTAACAACTATTCTGCTCTTTTGGGTTGAGGTCAGGTCTGCGTACATCCCACCATATAAGACCCCACCTTGGGGTGGGATATACTGGGCTCATTTGGTTTGGATTTAGAATCTTTATGCAAAATATATATGCACAAGGTTTGATTTACATATTTTAGAGCTCAAATTTCATGTTCATATGAGTTTTTGTAGGTTTTTGCTTTGAGGGATGCTGGAGACTTGGCAGAGAATGCTACCGCATATGTGAGCTTAGAACCATGTAATCACCACGGAAGAACTCCTCCTTGCTCTGAAGCACTTATCAAAGCGAAAGTTAAAAAGGTGGTGGTTGGGATGGTTGATCCAAACCCGATTGTAGCCTCAAGGGGAGTGGCTAAACTACGAGATGCAGGAATTGATGTAACCGTTGGCGTCGAAGAAGAAATGTGCAAGAAGCTTAATGAGGCATGGATACATCAAATGCAAACCGGGAAGCCTTTCGTTACCTTACGGTAAGCTTTGTTTTGACTAATTTCAGGTCGTTGACCAACTATTTAATGTATTATTCATGATGAATAACCTTGAATAATTAGAATATTATTTATCATGGATATCAGCATTTTCATCATTCATGATATCATGCATTTTCTTTTTACAGATACTCCCTCACTATCAATGGTAGCCTCTCAGATGATCTCGGGGAAGAATCCACAGAGGCTGGTGGATACTACTCCAGGTTATTACAAGAACACGATGCTGTCGTACTTTCTTCAAAATCATTACAAAAGCATCCGCTTCCAGAATCCAAAGAACCCAATTCCAACCAACCACTTCATATAGTACTCGTAAAACGTCCAGATCTCCCTCATCTTACCCTTCAAGAAGAAACAGCTTCAAAGGTGATCATATTCACGGACCAAGAGACGGATATGGGATCTGAACAAGGGATCGAGACGGTGGTTTTGGATAAAATGAACTTAACGACGATCCTGGAGCATTGTCAACATCAAGGACTGTGTAGTGTATTGTTGGATTTAAGAGGGAGTTTTGGTGACTTTGAGGATATCTTGAAGGGGGTTGAGGAAAACTTGGTGCAGAAGTTTGTGGTGGAAGTGTTGCCAGTTTGGGGTGAAAGCAAAGAAGAGGCCTCCTTTGAGGCAATAAAGATTAGCCAAAGAGCAGGTTTGAAGAACTTGGAACCCAAAACAGAGGGTAAAAGTGTCTTATTGGAGGGTTACTTTTAGTTTAAGTAATGGAATAAGCTCTTTTGATTGATCTGATTTGGTGGGTCCCCAGCTTTTTCAACTGTCTTTTTGTAAAATGCAAGAAAATTGAAGCAAACTTGTTGAATTATTCTCTAATGAACAAATATATATATTTATATACAAATACTATAAAGATAGCATATCTAATTGTGTTGGAAACAGATCAAAACCAAACGGACCCAGTAAATTCCACGCTGGTATTTTGGCCAGTCGGGATACATTACCTCTGGAAGGGTTTGTTGGCCCATCTGAGAAAGTTGTCATCTTTCTTGATCAATATCCAGATGTTTATGTTATCAATTGTTAGGCCAAGTACACTGTCCACTTCCTGAAGTTGGATACCCATTTGGATTTGATGACTGTTTTCTATCCTCCATTTTTGTGTCGAGTATGTCTCGAATCTTTTTCTCGCTCATTAATGCTTCTTGGACATTGTCGTAAACCAGTTTGCACAGCTCGTCTAGAGCCAGCATCGGGAACGGTTCTTCAATCAGAACACCCACCTACAAATATGCATAAGAATATCAGGTTTTAACTTCTGCCCATGTTGATAAAAATCTACATCTAATGCTATGTATGTAAGGTGCATCATATGTAGAAGGAACTAGAAATGCCTGAACAGAAGAGAGTGGGATAGATGGGTGAAAAAATTGTGGAAGGTTTTAGGGTTTTAATTGACATGGGTAGTTTAGTAATTTACCAATCTTGTTACATTTTTCATTATTTTTGTTCGGCCTATTTTGTTGGGACAAAAAAAATGCATTTTTGTCTCAGTAGGTCTTGTTACATCCTAGCCTAATTTCACGCAAAATGTGCGACAATAAGTTTTTCTACCGTATTGTCCCTTCTAGAAAAGACCGATGATGGTGGAGGTGGCCGGCGGAGGTGACTATTAAGGTAAATATCATATTAGGAGTATATCAAACAAGGGTAGATTGGTAATTTTTTGTTCTGTCTCGTCCTTGCCCTGTTCCACCTATTTTGGTGGAACAAAAAAAAGCTTTTTTGTCCCATCCCGTCCCGCCCAATTCCTGTCCCATACGTCGTCAAATGTGGAACAATGAGTTTTTGTCCTGTCTCATGTCGGGCCAAACGTCGAATAGTGAGTTTTGTCCTGTCTTGTTCTGTCTCATGTACCAAAGACGGGCTTACTAGAAAGTTTCAATGATTCATATCAAAATTGAAATTTGAAAATCAATCTGCATTGGTTCTTTTAGTAACAGAGGCAGCATACCTCTTCGATGCAGAATAAAGAAGCCGCGCTGATGAAAGTAGCCGGAACCACAATCCAGTGGCAATCATCCCACAGAATTATCGGAAGAGTAAGGTGCCAAAGAACAAGAAATCTTGAAGTCAATCGGGTATACGAAAGAGGGATAGGTATGCTCGTGATTTGTTCACAAACACCAATTCCTTCATGGAAACACGTAACTTTCGATTCCTGAATCGCAAACCACAAGAAAGATTGCCTTCCGTTATTCGATTTCCGAGGTAAAAATCGTGACTTTGAAACAGAAAACTTACGAGTGTAGTTCTCGTTGATGACTCCAAATTCAGCAACTGGAGACTTTGAGAGATGAACTGAATGATGCATCGTGGCCGATGATTTGCACCGAGAACTACTGCTAGATCGTCGTCTTCCAGCAGATTCTTAAGGTCTCTCCCTATTTCAGATCCATGAATCAAATGGCACTGCATTTCATTCCAAAAGTCAGCACATATCTCTGTAGGTATAGTTTCCGAATTTAGGAACTACATACCTTAAGGGCAATCGGGAACGCCAAAATATACTGCAAAAGCGCCATTTTTAACGCAGAATCCGTCCCCACGCTAACAATCACTTGTCTAGCAAAGTCATTCGTCCCTGAAATCACCTTGGTCCAAGCCTTCCTCCCTTCCTCAAACCTCGAATACGAAGCTTCCGTCCTGAAAACCAACAAAAGCGCCAATGCCGGTGCTGTCAACTGGTACGGCAAAGAAGAAGCCCTCAAAGTCGGGAAAAACTCCGGCAACAAATCCCAAAACACCGCCGTGTTATAACTCGCTATCACCACAGCCACCGTCGTGAAGGCAATAACCGGCGGCACCAACGACAAAATCACCCTAGAGCTCAGGCTCGAAAGCAGATGTCGGATATGCCTCAAAGAGCTTCTGTGTTCGACCCAATCTTCGTGTTTGTAAAGCGGCCTCGTTTGTTTCACACGGCTCTCCTTGATTGCATCTGCCCAGTCGGGAATTGCTCGAAGAACCGAGATAAGGGTTAGGGTTCTTGGCGGAGATGGTGGATTAGGGTTTTGGGAACAGAGGATTCTGGAGGGTTTTGATGGGAATTTGAAGGGAAATCGTGAAGATGAAGAGGGCATAAAGTGAAATGAAGGTTTGGAGGTAGCAGCCATGGATGGAATTTAGGGTTAGGGTTTGAGGGAAAGCAGAGAAAGAGCACATATTGTATGGGGGAGTTTCAGAGAAGGGAAGAGTGCAAGAGGTTTCAGTGAGGGAGAGTGGATGGTTGGTTGTTAAGAACTTGGAATCAGTTATGTGAATGAGGTTTTTCTACATATTTTATTATTATTTTTAATTTTAATATTTTGGATAAATTAAAATATTTCCTCGCATTTTTTTTATCGTTTAGAAAATAAAACATTTTTATAAACAAAATATTTAAAACATTTATTTTTTCTTTTTAAAGCAATATCGGCTTGTTTTTTGTACGTCGACACTATCGATTACGATACCACACCTTACGCGCCTACTTTTCTCTCGATGCATCAGGTTTTGTTAGAAACCGCAACGAAAAGTAAGGTGGCCACGGAAAAAAGACTTTTTAACCACAAGAGTGGTGCCTGATTGGTTTAAGCTTAAACTCCAAAGGTCAAAAGTGCCTGGAGGTCCCAGGTTCAAATCCAAGGGGGAATAAAAATTCCCCTATGGCCACGGAGGTGGTGACTCCGGGCTACCTGCAAAGCAGGTGGTCGCCCTGGGATTAGTTGGCTCGCATAGCGGGTTGGATATCCATGTTAATGGAAAAAAAAAGACTTCTAATGCATGAGGGCATAAAATTGTAACAAAAATCTGTGCTTGCGGTCGATTGATTTTCTCTCAATGATAAACATAGTCGAACAAACTAGAATATGTCAAGAATAAGAACATGAAATATCATATGAATACGAGAAAAACGACAATCTCGTTGCATGAAAATTCCTCCGCTTTACAAAAGCTATTCGGGAGAGTGTTTCTAGAGAGAATTTCGCTTCTATTTTGCAAGAAGACTGAACCACAGCATTGTAGTTACAACAACCAACAAGGTTTACACGTAGTAAGCAACTCGAAATCTACACGCAAAAGATTCATATTCTAAGGGCAAGCAGAACATCACAAGAACCTGAAAAAACCATTCGGTGCTAGGAAAGATTAAGGATGTTTCTCGGCTGCTGGTTTTTTGGCTTCTTCCTTCGATCCGAAGATGAATTTTTTCACCGATTGCTCTGCAGATTGTATGGTGTTTTTGATCTATCATTTACAATGCAACAACACTCGATGTCAGATTAAGTTTGATGACAAACGAGATAGAGTTTCAAGATTTGAACAGCCGATAATAAATTGCAGGGAAAAAAAAAAAAAAAGGATAACCACAAGGGTGGTGCCTGATTGGTTTAAGTCTGGCTCCAAAGGTCAAAAGTATCAGGAGGTCCTAGATTCAAATCCAAGGAGGAATAAGAATCCCCTTGTGGCCACGGAGGTTCAAATATGGTGACTCCGGGCTATCTGCAAAGCAGGTGGTCACCCTGGGATTAGTCGGCTCGCATAGCGGGTTGGATATCCAGGTTAATAAAAAAAAAGGTAGAATAAAAATAAAAAGACATAGCATATACATGATTGGTAAGCCAAGGGTAAAACAGACACTCTACTTTCTGCCTTCCTGAGATAGAGGACATGTCTACGTACATCCCAACCCATACCCTACTTCTTAGTGAGACATATTGGGTAGTTTGATTTGGTTTCGTATATACATGATTCAGCTATTTACCTACATCCACAACTGTTCACAGATTCTATTAAGAGTGCAAGTTATACTCCACTATACAGTCTAAGGGGCCGTTTATCAAACACTTACCCGGTAAGTGCTTACCGGTAAAATTTAATACTATTATGTACTTACCGGGTAAGATTTTAGTCCACCAAAACGAGATAGTATACAATAATTTACCTGGTAAGCGCTTACCATGGTAAGAGTCATCGCCTTCACTTACCGGGTAAGACTCTTGATCCTTGTCTCGCTCTTACCGGGTAAGATTCTTGGTCCTTACTATATTCGTCCGGTGAGGTAATATTACTTGGTAAGCGCTTACCCAGGTAAGCGTTTGGTAAACGGCCCCTAAATCAAGCTTTGTGTCCAAAAACGAACGACTAATGAGATAAGACAATTTGGGGTTGTTTGACAGTTGTCGAATGGTTTGATGCAGAATGATTAAGAGGCTCTCATGATATAGTGCAAAATAAAATATAATTGTTTGGTAATTGTTTACAATGAAATTAGGGGGCTTAATAGTTAAGAGGGGCTCATGATACAAAATCATTCAGAGAGTTTTAGAACCATTTGAGAGGCAGACTTTTTTTTTGCCAAACAAGATTCAACTCTTAACGATTCAAAGGTTGCCTCTTAATGAAACTATTAAGAGGTAAACAAGCAACCCTTCTCTTGATTGATGTACGGATACTTTGGGTCATACATCACTAGACTGCTTGTTTTTTATACTCTGTTACATAAATTGCTTCCCAAAAGTTAAGAGGGAATCTATGATTTCCAAGGACATGACCTATAACAGAAGTTCTTGGAAGAACAATAGGTCTACGAGGTTGTTTGTTTACCTCTTAATAGTCCCATTAAGAGGTAGCCTCTGAATCATTAAGAGATGAATCTTGTTTGACAAAAAAATCTGCCTATGGTTCTAAAACCGTAAATGATTTTGTATCTTGACCCTCCCTTAACTATTCAGCGCCCTAATTTCATTGTAAACAATTACCAAACAAATATATTTCATTTTGCACTGTATTTCTCACCACTTAATCATTCTAAACCAAACCAATCAACAACCGTCAATCAGCCCCTAGGTCTGAGGTATGAAAATGAAAAGGGAACTTTGATCATCGGATAAGAGATTAGCAAAACATAAGTAGATTACACAAAGGAAACCTAATTAGATTTACAATATCAGCAACCAAGAAACCACCATAAAAGTAGAAAAGTATATCATAATATATTCACAGCATCAGAACCCACAAAATATCAGTAATTAAATCAAAATCTAGAACCTTAAATCACCGAAAACCCCTGAATGAACTCAAGAAACAGTAATCGAAGTCAAAAAGCTTACGGGATCAAGAACATTAGGTTCGGGACCATAATCAGCAGTAAGGAGGAAATAAGCAGCAGTAACCGTGGCCACCATCGTTGTTCTTCTTACCAACTTGTCAGTGTTGGGATTCATAATCGAAAGTCTGAAGATGAGGAGGGACTCAAATTAATCGATTGCTGAAGTTTCCGGAGTTTCGAAATTGGGGGAAACCTTGAAGAAGCGGTGATAACTGCAATTCTTATGTCACGAAGGCATTCTTATATAATATTTTTTAATTTTCATTTATTTATGATTAATTTTTGTTAGGGTAAACCTACCTTCGACTAGTTTGATCTTAACACAAAAAATCATTATTCGGATATAAATTAAAATGTATTTTTTTTTCAATAACCGACAAAAGTACATCGTCTTATGTTGTGTAAAAATTATTGCTTAAAATGAAATTGTATGTACAATGTGTTATTATAGTGTGTATTAAACTTTACGTAAAATTTTGAACAAAAAATTGATTATCAATAATTCTGATTGATCAAACACAAAATCATTTTTAAAGACACTAATAGTATTTTTTGGTTCATTTAACGGGCGAGGCCAGCAGGGAGCCCGAGATCGGATATGGAACTTGTCTTGTATTTGGATAAAGTCATATTTGTTAGGACCAATCAACAAAGTCGTAGGTCTCTGTTTTCATTTTTGTTGCTGATAAAAGGGAATGCTAATGACACCTCCTAATAGGAGTGATGAATGATTTATTGAAATTACTTAAATTTCTATCAAATGTCAAGCTCAACCAATAATTAATATATATATTATTTATTGTATATTATTACTATTATAAGTTATATTATCCAACTATTATACATACATATATGTAATCTATGTATATAACTAGTTGTATATATATATATATAAATATATTATATATATTTTTTATTTATACTATATATTTTTTATTATATACATACATGCATTAGTATTACAATTTTATCYTAATTATTTAAATATTTTTAAAGATGTAGTTAAAAAAGGATTAGGGGTAACAATAATCTCCTTGATAAATAATATTTCCTAGTCTGTAAGGAGTAGGTTAGGCTTGATTTTTTCTTAGTAGTGGTCTTGTAATTTTTGGTTTCCACCATTTACTTTTGTTGCAATTTCCTATATAAATTCATATTGTATTCAATGAAAATGGTGGAGAACTTTCACTAAAATTATAGCGTGTGTGATGAGTTCTTCACAATGGATATAAGAGCTTTGCAAAGGGGGCTGATTTTCAAATTTCTGTGAGAGAGAGAGAGAGAGGAGTTTGTGTTCAAAGTGATTCAAGACAAATGGCAATAGAGAACAACAATTTCACAACACCGTGTGTGCCCAAATTCGACGAAGACTATGATCATTGCGTTTGATCATGGAGAATCTCTTGAGGTAGAATGACCATCGGAGTATGATCAAAAGTGGCATCCGACGGCCAATCAAGGATGTGGCCCAGGGAACGGCTCAACAGAAAGAAGGTAAAAAAGCAAAGATGAAGGATCTAAAGGCTAATAACTAGTTGTTCCAAACCATGGACAAGTCGATCCTCAAAACCATCACTCAAAAGGATTTGACAAAGGAGATTTAAGATTCAATGAAGACAAAGTACCAAGGTAGTGCACGTGTGAAGCGGGCTCAATTACAAAGGTAATGGAGAACCTTTAAGACATTAGAAATGAAGGTAGGGGAGTCAATTTCAGACTACTTTGGAAGAGTTATGAATGTCAACAACGACATGAGGAATTGCGGTGAGAATCTGGAAGATATCAAAATATTTAAGAAGATATTTTATACATTGACAGAAAACTTAAATTTTGTGGTTTATTCCATTGAGGAATCTAAGGATATCGACAAGCTTTCAGTCTATGAACTTCAGAGCTCTCTTTTGGTGCATGAACTTAAAGCACGAAGCAAAGAGATGGAGAAACATGTCCTAAATGATGAACATAAGTACCAAGGAGGACGAGGAAGAAGCAGAAGCAGAAGCAGCTGCAGAAGAGGAGGAGGCAACCCTAGTTGAGATCGAGGACGGACCAGAACGTTCAATCGTTCCATGGTTGAATACTACATATGCCATAAGTTAAGGCATTACCATTTGAGTGTAATGATACATAACGAGGAGCAAACTATGTGGAACTCAATGAAAAATAGCAGTTGATTTGATGGAATGTGCATACTTAGCTTGCTTACAACCTACACAACATCATTCTCACATGTCTAAGTACTTGTATCGGTAATAAAATACGAGTTCCAGATTAGACTTAACTTAACATTTTGGTCAAACCTCAGCTAGGTCAATCGTTGTTCGGGTGGGCAACCTGGGCTCACCTCACTTAAATCACGACAATAGGGCATGTGAACTCTAACTCGCAACCCACCAAACCATTTGTGAGACTTGAACCTTTTGCCCCTAGGTTATCAACATGCGGCTTGCTAGCCACTTTGTCATCACAACATTGACCTAGCGACCATGAGTCGTTGCTCTAGCTCATGTATGCTTTGAGTCAGTGCACTTCAACTTTGTAAATCTCAACTCAATAATACTTACTTATAACTCGTTCCTATTGATTTTTTTTTTTTGCTTCAAAGCATCATATAATTAACATTTAATATTCTTCGATAACATTACTTAGAATATCAAACTCAAATTTGACCATTTACACAGTGATCTTGATATGAATCTCTTTTATCCATGTATCGTTTCATACATGGCCTTAAAAGTGGTGGACCTAGGATCTTTATCGAACAGATGCATATTTAAAGTGGATCATGCGCTTGTAAGTCGTCTGATGTATTTTAGTCAAATTCCACTGTTCAGAAGGATTTCTTGAGTTCTTCTTGTTGATTTCAATGATTTTTTCACTATTATTGGTTGATATTCCTTATATTTTCTAATATCTCGAAACATTACTTAAAGTTTAACGGATGCACCTTTCATACCCCAAAAAATATTTTAATCATGAAATTCAGTTGAATGAATGTATGGAACCCCACTTGGGCATGAATAGGTCTGCCCTCGGCCTTAAGGCCTCATTTTATGTTACATTTCGAAACTAAAACATATTGCTCCTTAAGAAAGAACATACGCTTGATGTCAGATTTACACTGCAAGTTGACTAAACTCTTTTTGAACATTTCAGAAGCTTCTCTGTTTCTCACTTTTAGAATTCTCTTTTCGTTTATTTTTGTTTTAGCCTCATAGAACGTAAAATGGCAGTAATATTGCCATCATGCACCCGTTAACCATCCGCTCTCATCCGTTCCCTCTTCGCGCTTTCTTCAAATATAACTCATCACGGTGTTTCGGTTTATTACCTGATAACCCTTTAAAAGTCAAATCTATCTTCATTTATTGACAATCTAAGGCTATCGAACGTATTAGATTTTGATGTGTTATATACACTATGCAATTTAATGTTTATATATATATATATTTTTAGCCTGGATATCCAACCCCTGTACAAGCCGATTAATCCCAAAACGACCATCTGTTTTGCAAATAGCCGAAGTCACTGCATTTACTACAAGAGGATTTTTATATTTTTACAGATGAATCATATAAATATAATTAAATTTTAGTCTTTTAAGAAGATGGGTAGAATAAATTAGGTTTACTAAACTAGAATTATCATTGACTCCACCTATATATATACATATGTGTATATATATTCCATTCCATTGCCCTCTCAACTCCCGACTTAGATTCATCACAGTATCCTTCGTCAGGAAGTCGATATCAAATATAAACCCAACTCACACTCCACGAATTTTGCTTTCTTACTTCAAAAATCTTGCAGAATTCTTAATATAAATAATGGAAATCCCAAATACTGCCCAAAATCTTCAAGCAAATCCCAAGAAACGGCCTTCTGATTGCAATGTCAACATCCAAGACTCAAACTACTTCAAGATTCGAGCCGTTCTTAAGGATCTTCGTCCTCATTTCCTTGAGGTAATCAAGTTGTAACAGGAAATCCCGAAGATTTCTTGTTTTTATGCTTTTTTTCATTTTGTTTTATGAACCCTAATTTTATCTCTGTCGAGTTAGTTTATTTGTTTTCGATCTGTTCCAGTAGTTGACCGTCGTTTAAGTTTAACTTCGTTCGTTTGTACTTTTTATGAATTAAATTAGGGTTTGTTTATGTTTTAGGGTATCGAATTAGATTTTGTAGCTTTAATTTCTGGATTTCGTTAGACACTAAATCTTCATAGTTAATTTCAGTTATGCATGATTGATTATAAGCTTGTGCATTTGTAGATTGGACCACTGTAGCGTATTGTTAGTTTAGTTAGGGTTTATAATGTTTAACTGGATTTGATGAAATTAGTTGAAACTTCAAAATATTGAAAATTAGTTCTGATTTTAATTCTGATCAACTCCCTCTGCCTTTAAAAGTTGCAACATTTTTCTCTTGGGGATGTATACTGATTGCAATTTGTACCCTCTTTGACCCAATTTTGAAGCTCAACCTACTTGTTTGCCTAGCATCATCCTTCTTGTTAATTATTGTTCCGTAACATTCTTCGGTGTGTCCATAAGGGTGGTAAAGTGGTGTATAAAATCAACTTGGGTTCGAATCCTGCCATCTACTACGTATGGGCTTGTGGCCACTGAGAGACGTGGGTGAAGCCCACAGTCGTGACTTGCAGTGGGATTAATCTAAGCTAGGGGTGTGAAGTGTGAACTAGTCGAGCTTAATAATTCTTGACACAAAATAAAATTCGTTTAACTTAATGAGCCGAGCTTCATAACACCAATGTTCAACTCAGCTCGTCCGGAAGCTCAATTAAATTTTTCGAGTCGAGCCAAGCCATTCAAGCATACACTTTCTCGAGCCAAACATGCTCATATGTTCATAAATGATACCATAAAAATTATCAACCTTTGAGCCAATTAATGAGTTAATCGATTGCGAGTTCGAGCTCGATAACTCAAAAAAAAATTGAGCCTGAGCTCGAGCCGACGTAGAAAAAGTTATTCGAGCTTGAGCTTGGTATTATGTTTTCTAGCTGAGCTCGAATAACCTACTACTCACCTTGGCTCGGCTTGTTTACACCCCTACTCTGGCCTGAGCGAAGCCTGGGATCACACATCTAAAAAAGAAATCTTCAGTGTGTTATATTATCATTGAAGTGTTGTTTTGGACATTTAACTAATAATCAAACAATGTCCGTCGCTGGGTGTGCAAGCAAAAGTTACAATAGTTATAGGAGGGAGGGAGTACAATTTGGGGTTATACAGTTACACTATGTGGAAGTTTGAGTACCTTCTACAAAACTGACTTTAATAATCTAACTATCTAGTGTATTTTTCAAGTTTTCACGGTGGCAAACTGTTTTACATCTAAGAAAGGCTGTTTTTTTTATTAACCTGGATATCCAACCCGCTATGCGAGCTGACTAATCCCGGGCGACCACTTGCTTTGCAGATAGCCCGGAGTCACCGCATTTGAACCTCCGTGGCCACAAGGGGATTTGTATTCCTCCTTGGATTTGAACCTGGGACCTCCAGGTACTTTTGACCTTTAGAGCCAAGCTCAAACCAATCAGGCACCACCCTTGTGGTTAAGAAAGGCTGTTTTACACTAGAGGCGGGACAAATGAAGGTCCTTGAGTTAAAAAGGTTTAGAAGGTCATGCTTCTAATTGAAAACGTAAACTTATTTAAGGTCATTTACCCAAAGGATCGGTTTGAGCACTACTCCCTCCTCTTCAAAATGTTATTCATGCAAGGTTTTGACCAGACTCAGGAATGCAGTTATCATACTCTATTTATGATATCATAAAATTTTGTTACATTTTTTCCCTTGTAAGTTATGTGACCTTTAAGAGTCCTTTGTTGGGAGAGGGATTAAGGGTGAAAACCAAACAAACCCGGTATATCCCACACAGAGCTAGGATCTGGAGGTAGGATGTATCATTCTGATGCTTTAGTGGTTATATTGTTCGGCATAAGCATCACAATGCATTTTTATAATGTTATTATTTTCTTTTGAAACCGTTGTGAATATATATATATATATATATATATATATGTATATGTTTATGCTTTTCCCACATTAGATTCCTTTGTTCACTAGATGTATTTATGCAAGTGTTTTAGTCCTTTATACATGGCTTATACCATTTCTCAAGAATCCAGATGGTAAGTTTTTGGAACTTATTAGCGTATACATATAGCATCAAACCTGGTGCATCATGGCTAAATGGCTTTGTGAGGGTTGGGGATGGAAGTCTTTTATGGGCATGATCACATCTTATCACTATGTGATCCTTTCGCACCACTGTTTAGAGTCCACTTTTGATATTTAAGTTTCAAATGGGTTTGTTTTAACTTCAAGTTCTACAAGTACAGTTATGATTGTCGAGAGTAATTGGTAACCAGGTTGAATTGAATCCCGTGTTTGTATCTTATTACTCCTCCATCTGAAAATTAGAGTCGGCTTTTGACTACCAACTTCGGACTGTAAAATGAGATGCCTTTTTAACTTGAAACTTCATAAGAACAGTTATGAATCTTTAAAAGAACTGATAAGCACATTGAACTGTAACAAAACTAATACAATAAAAGATAATCAAGTTAAAAGAAAACAAGAAATTGTCTCGTATTCATATGACTTTTGAGATGCAATAACTTCGACTTTTGATAATTAAAACGAACTCTAAGAAAAAGGGGCATCTCAAGAACAAACCTTTGTTGGGCCAGCCGATACAAGTGCTGTTACAAATTTTAAGCAATAGTCTCGATCATAGATCCACTTAGTTTTCTCATAGATTTACTATATAATTGATTCTACTACTTTTGCATAAACTTCCTATTTGATTTGTCTCATCTTAAAGGTTCTCCGGACTCCAGATTTTCAGACTTCCAAAGCCGCTTTGGAAATCGGGCAACGTAAGTTTTTGTATCAACTTCCTCTCCATCAGTCATGTTCAATCTAAATCTCGTTCATACAACTAACTAAATCCTGCAGAAATGAAGGTTTTGATGAAGCTATACGAGGAGATGACATCAGAGTCGGTGACTATGGAAAGGTGTAAAAATTTAGCCGATGGCGGTCATGATCAGAAAAAGCCAGCAGATGGAAAAGCGACAGAGACACAGCCACCACCGCCATTAGAGAAGGAGAGGGTGTTCATCAGAAAAGCTTCTGAAGAGAGGCCTACGTCGGAGATGCTAGAAGCAGCAACGCAGCAGGGTAGCTACATCGTCGGAGGGTCGGCTTTCGGTTGGAATTTTATCACTTATCCATCCAGCATATTGGCAGCTTATTATGGTAGAGGAAAAGAGGAGTTTAGAGCAGCTAATCCAATAATGCCACCAACATTGGAGAACCTTGATTGATTAGCATACATACAACCACCATATGATATCCCCCAATCTGTTGCTATGTAAGGTTGTAAGGTATGGTTTGTTTGAAGAGAATGTGCATCAATGGGTTGTACTTTGGGATGTGCAATGGATGATTTAGAAGGAAATTGATCTGGTGCATCTCGATGCATCTTGTTAGAAGGGAATTGTGTTTTAGAATGTGCATCAATGGGTTGTACTTTTGATTACTTTTAATTTCATGTCCACCTATGAATTGTGTTTTAGAAGGGAATTGATCCGGTGCATCTCGATGCATCTTGTTAGTGTTGACATTTAGTTATGATTGATTTAATGGTGGATATCTCTTCTTACTATTCTCACCATAACTTTCACACTCACCGGAATCCAACTCTGTTATGTTATATTGAATGAGTAAAAATATGTTCATTGATGATATGTACCTTACATGTTGTCTTTTGTGCTTCAAATTTTGTACGGTAATGCAGCTATCCATGTATGTATGGGTGTTTGCAGTCCGTTTTGAACGATTTAACCCTTCAAACTGGACCATAAAAAGACTACGCAATTTGGGGTTTATGGATTTAAAGTAAAAAAAACATAATATCTAACTAAAATGAAATTTCTTTCAATATACATTATTAAAAAATAATATATCGAATCATAAAAAACCGTCTATCTCTAGAAAATATTGACCAACTTGAAGAACATTAAACAAATCAAGCAACAATAGTTGGAATTTTGGACGAAGATCGATCAAAGTGAAGGATGATTTGGAATTCTGGATTTGATTTTTGAATGATTTCAGAATTTGTCAATTTAGAAAACGCGATCAATTGAGAAAAGAAAACTAAAAATTAAAAATATAGTCTTAGACGAATTTTTGTAATTGGTTATGAAACTGGACCCTACAATATGAACACTAAATATAATTAATATATATATATATATATATATATATATATATATAGGGTTGGGTTCACGTGAGACCAAAGGTTTTTCGTGAGACCCGTAAGACCAATTTATGTTCATTGATCAACTTTATAAGTTAATGATCTAACGGTCTAAATTGCACGGTGGCAATTTGGTAATTATTAAGAAATCTCGTGGCGTTTATGAATGTTTAGATTGTCAGATTATAGATCTAATCCAAGGGTTGAGAATTGGTCTTACGGGTCTCACGAAAAATCATTGGTCTCACATGATCTCAAGTCTATATATATATATATATATTTGGTGGTCGATTCGATCTATGGTCTATACCGCTCAAAAAAATGTTCAGACCATAGACCAGACCAGACCAGATCGAATCGAGCGGTTTGAATATTTTTCAGATTGAACCGGACCTTCAAACCGTTCAACCGTAAAAAATGATCCGATTTGACTTGATTCAATCAGTTTGAATGGTCAAAATGGTTTTTTAACACCCCTGCGTGTTGATAAAAGCCAAGCCTACCACATGTTTGCATCGTTGAATCTATTTTAATACGTTTTTTATATTAGATATGTAACAAGGACACCAAACAACAACGGGTCCATAGCTCAGTGGTAGAGCAATTGACTGCAGATCAATAGGTCACCGGTTCGAACCCGGTTGGGCCCTTAAACCATTAATCTTTTTTAATCCCAAAAATATTATTGTCTTCATTTATATATTATTAACAAGGAAGTTAAACACCATCGGGTCCATAGCTCAGTGGTAGAGCAATTGACTGCAGATCAATAGGTCACCGGTTCGAACCCGGTTGGGCCCTTAGTTATTTTATCTTTTTTAATCCCCACAAATATTATTTGTATCCTCTTATATATTTATGTAAAAAGGATGACAAACAACAACGGGTCCATAGCTCAGTGGTAGAGCAATTGACTGCAGATCAATAGGTCACCGGTTCGAACCCGGTTGGGCCCTTAAATTGGGAATTTTTTATTCTCCCAAAAATAACATACTTTTTCAAAAGTAAAAGATGGTAATTATGGTTTGCAATAACATCCAATTTAGTCTATTTCTCTAAAATCCATTAATGAGAGACATCTTCATTATTCTGTTGATTTTTTGTCTTTTATCCAATCAAATTTGTAGTTTTCTCTATAAAAATTACATCATAAAGGAACCAACATTGGGTTAGTTCCTATTTTAAATAACAAATTTTAAAAATCTTCATTTTAGTTGAAATGGCTTAACGAAGGATAAGTGAGGGATTCTGAATTATTTTATATAGCCATTTTGGTTTAATGGCTTGATGATTAAGCCATAAAGAAACACTCCAACCCAAAGCATTAAGCTAATTAAGCTATAACTCATGATCCATAAAATTCCTTGATATTGTAAGGACATTTTAGGTATTTACTGATAATCAAACTTTTTAATTGAACGACTACAATTATTTTAGAACAGAACAAGTAACATAAAGATGGTTCGTGGTTCAACGCAATCAAACCCAACCCGACCCGACCCGTATGTTATGAAACCGAACCAAGAGAATAAACAATAAACCTTTTTGTACACAAACTAGAGTCAACCGAGTTCTTGCTTTACATTCAAATCTTCAACAAAAGAATGCAATTTTTCTATTCCCAGTAACACAAATTACTCATAATATATGAAAAAATGAAAACCCGAAATCGACAAAGAAAAAAGGGCAAAATCTTCACTTTCTCGGATCGTTATGAAGGCGGTGCGTTTGACCATCCAGTCAAAGTCAAACATTTCAAGTCGACGAGAAATGGCAGAGATTTACATCAAAAGATATCACAGACCGTTGGTGGAGGCTGCGGTTCTCTTGGCTTCAAGCGTTGCACCCTCCTTGAGGGCGGCATGGGCTTCGTTTTCCATTTTGAGGGCGAAAAGCGAGGCAGCTTGTAGATACAATGCAATGTGCCAAACGGGCGAGATGACTTGAGCCTGCATTGCATCACTCAATGCTTCCTGAGCCATGTCGTTCATGAGGTACGATAAACTACGTCGAGCAAAGACGGTTGGCGACACCATCGGTCCGTGCTCGACAAACTGCACAAACCCGATGAAAAAGACATGGCATTTCCACGATTAGATAATATCTCATTCTGGTTGAATCGTTTTAGCAACTGGCTACAGACATGACTAAAAGCCGCCGCGAGAGGAGAGACAATCTTTCATGAGAGAGGGACGACGAGCGAGTGAGAGAAGTGGCTATTTTCTCCCACGGGTTATTCTTGATCTTATTAGATGTCACGTACTAAAGGGCGTTTTAGACATTTGACTAATAGTTAAATACAGTGTGACTTGTAGAGAACATGGAGATAATGCACATTCTCCCATTATCGGGTGGTGATTGAAAGGGTATTTTAGACATTTTACCAATAGACGGAACTTTTACGACATATCATATTTATTTGAAAACTTGCAAGAGAAAAGAACCTGAGAATAGCACTCTATTGCATCCTTGAAATCCTTGTGCCGGAACGCGGTATCGCCCTTTTTCTTCGAATTTAGCGATTCTTGCATTTGGTCGGTCCACATTTGAAACGAGAGCTGTAACCATAAATTATAAGAATAAGAATCAAGATCTTAAATTCAAAACAAACCACAAAAAACCCGCCCTCTTCGTTTCGCCTATTCTCCGACCATGTCATAGGTTCCATCTTAATCTGCCCTCATGACGTCATGGAAACCGGACCCACAAATCAAGGAGAAGATTCGAACCTTTGACTTTTCATGTTTGACCTTTATCCATGAACCCCCTTAAAGTTTGTGGGTCCAATTTCATGGGTCCCACTTTTCATAAAAGGGACCCATGAAACCTGAACAAGAAGTGGACGCACATCGTTTCTAGAATGTCTTTTTCTAATAATAAATAGAAAAAGGCAAACATTTAGACAACAAAAAAGTCTATGCTAACGAAGGAACGTCGATCCTAGGTGTTGAAACTATGAATCGAGATACTCGAGAGTATATGAAAAACCTCGTTTGTTTGCCCTTCGTCGTCTTTATACGAAATTGTTTCTAGAATTTCATGTATTGCAGTCAAATCCATTCTCAAGCAAGCTTCACCAAGTGGCGATCGAGGTGAGAATGAAGTCGTTGCCGGGATGCCCATCAGCACGTACGACGGAACCTATAAATCAATGACATAAACTATGTGATAATAAGCTCATATTTTCCATAAATGCTCTGAAAGTACTAGGTTTTTTTTTCGGTAAATGGTCCCCAACAAAATGTTCCATGGGAAAGGGGATAAGAATTACGAGTGAAAGCGGTTTCGGTTTGGACTATGGATCTAAACCACCACATGAACCGTGTTAATTGGTTGCAAATTTTCTTAACCGAAACAAACTGAGATGCCAAAGCTTGAGAACCAAACCTATCAACTAACCTCGGTTTCCTTTTGAAGAGCAGTCAAGGCAACTACTAGTGATTTTGGATTTGGCCGTTCTCGGGGTTCATACTGCAAACAACGAGAAGCCAAACGCACCAACTCGGTTCCATCATCGTTAGAAAATTGTCCTTCCAAGCATGAATCCGTAAGCATTTGAAGGTTCCGATCCCTTATCAAGTCAAGAGCCTGGAATCATAAACCAAACATTATATATATATATGCTCAAACATGTATACATACACAACCTTTCCACCTTGGTGCACCAAGGTTCCTCGGCTGCTTGGAGTTTTGAGGAGTCTTGGTGCACCGGTTACCGGTATATCCCAACTTCCATGGTGGTCAACGGTTCAAGCCTCATAAAGACTTGAACCGTGACTCGACTTGTCACAAATACATACATTGGGTGCACACACACACACACATATATGTACACATACGAAGAGAACAGAGACATATTCTTACATGACTTGGAGGAATGTGTTTCCCGCTGAGAAGATCAAGCAAAAGAGTCCCAAAGCTATATATCACACTTTCGGGTGTCACTCTTCCTACGGAACGAAAACATATTTCCAAATAAAACGTCACAACAACAAACTTGAAGAATTTGGGTCAAATATAAAAGTTAAATATCGGGCCTTTTGACCTCAAAGTCAAAATGCATCTCCACGCGGCATAACGAAAAATTGTAATGAAACAAGAATACACGGTTCTAAAAAGCTCGAGGGTCGTAAACGATAGATAGATTATAGCATCAAAACTACGGACTTCAATGAATTCATTTTAAAGTAAACATCGATCCCTTCGACCTCTGAAGTCAAAACGCATCTTTATCTTGTAACGTTATTAGAAGTATACTGAAACAAGAATGTACCGGTTCTCAAATACTCGGGGGGAGTAAATGCAAGATTCGTGCTATAGCTTTTCCCATCCCGACTATTCTTCATCAGACCAAAGCACGAAAGTCTAGGATTACCTTCCTGCAAAAATTCTAATGCATGAATACCGACATCCAAATTCAAAAACCGGGAAATAAATTGAAACTATAATTGATTTCATAAATTTCACCTCATCAAACAAAATTCTGTAGGCATTGAGATCGTGATAAAGAGCACGGCCTTTACTTGTACAATATTCAAGAGCTTCGGCTAGATGTAAGACCACACGTAACCTCATTGCCCATTTCATCGGCTGCGACTCCCCTGAATCAACACAGATTTATATTAAGTCGCTCATAATAAACCTAACAAACCCAGTATATCCCACACAGAGGTAGGGTCCCAGAGGGGTCAAGACATACGCTCATAACATCGAAGGTAAAGCCACAAAAAAGTGAGCGACTTTTTGAACTATTTGGCTTTCCATTAACTAACCATCATTGTAAAAACCTCGATAAGACACTATTGTCTGAAAAAGTTGGCGATTTTGAACAATTTATAGAAAAGTAAATGCAAAAGAAGATCGTTGTACTTGGCCTTTTGTCTAGAATCTCTAATGCTTCAGAAAAGACACGGCGAGAATAACAAAAGAAAGAATGCTTACAGTGAAAAAGATGTTTTGCAAGCGTATTATTGGGCAAATACTCGGACACAAGTAGCCGCTCATCATGTTCGCAACAGCAACCAAGAAGATTTGCCAGCCTCACATTACGGAGTTGACCAACAGATTTTGCTTCTTCCTGATGTTTTGAAAGATGAATTATCACGTATTTAGGATCAATACGAGAAATCTTGATTAAAAACAGTGACGATATTATGTCCCAATCATGGGATATAACACGATAAGGTCCATATCTTGTATATTCTTCTTATAAGAGGGACAGAGGTCAAGTTAAAATGGAACCATAAACATTTTGAGATCCCAGGAACCAACTATTCATGATGAATATCATGATATTCATATAATATACATGAATATTTTAGGATTATTCATTATGAATAATTCATGAAATAGTCTATTCTTAGGTTCTCGTTTGAACTTTCACCGTAGGGACAGTCTTCAATTTACAAATGTACTGCAGAATTCACATAATATAACAAAACTCTAGCAAAGACAGTGAATTCCATACCAAAAACTGTCGGGAATCAGGCCAAGCCGATCGGTTAAAGCGCTTAACCGCTATCCTCACTTGATTCTCGAGTTTCCCTTTATAAACGACATTCGGAGCCTTCTCACCATGCTCAGATACAATGTTTTCAACAGCAAAACCAGATGTTGCATTTTTAAGTTGCTCAAAGGTGAATTCTTTGAACACAGGCAAGTTACCAACTTCCTCTTCATTCCCTACGCCAAAAAATGGCAAATTTAATCAGATTTCGTTTCAAGTTATCGAAATAATTCCTAAAACTGATCGAAAACAGAACTCAAACCCACTTATAAATAAGCATTTAAATGATATCTCATGTTACACATACCACCATTAGGATCTTCAAGAATCGATGCCTTATTTGGTGAAACCAAACATGGAATGAGCTTGGTGCAAAACGAACCCATGTTGCCAAAAGTAAACAAGACCTAAATTTTGACAACAGAACACAAAAATCCATCAAATTTCAAGATCAAAATCACAAAATTGAACGAGTTTTAGACGATTTCCAACCGGCGTTTTTGCAAGATAAGAACCCTAAAACATTTGAGTAAATTCACTCAAATTCCAATCATGGGTTCAAATTCTAGATTGGAAACATGTTTGATCAGCATTAACACAACATCAATTGCAAATACAGAAAGATTTCCACCTCAGATTTAAACATGCAAGAGGATCTTGAATTTGTAAAGAAACCCAAAAACAACTTTTGGGGTTTTTTTGCTGATTAAAGTAGAACACATGAAAACCAACCTAATTTAACATACACAGAATCAATCTTTGAAGCAAAAAGGGACAAAACCCCAAAAAGGGAGAACCAAAAATCTTACCCTTTTATTGAACAAAATTTTCTTGTGTGTTCTTCTAGTCAACAAGTGAAAAGCAAGAAAGTCAAATTTCTCTTTATGATTCTGCACAGAAGAACCCTAACTGGTGGCTTAAAACCTCTTCAAAAGTCAAAATTAAACCCCCTTTTTCTAGATCAAATCAAATCAAATCAAAAGAACTAATCTAAACCCCAATTTTTGGTTCCCACAAGATCCACATTTTCGCATCGAGTACCAAGATTGCCCCTCCCCACACACACACACACACACACACACACAATCAAGATTACCCACTTCACAAAGACTCAGAAATTTTTGTGCTTTTAGGAAACAGCAAATTGCAGAAATGGGTTTATGGGGTATATAAAAAGGGTTCTTGAAGAAAAAAATAAGCCCAATTTTAAGATCCTAGATTGATATGTGCAGAACACACATTTGAGCTGAATAGAGAGAGAGAGAGAGAGATAGAGAGAGAGATTGTTATTATATCTTGGCTGAGATCTTTATAATCTTCTTGGAAGTGAGTAGGAATGCAGTTAGGCTTTTTATAGTTTGTAACATGACAGACATATTTTAATTAATTCATTTAATAATCACCTCTTTTAAATTATTTCAATAGATGCTCTCTTCAATGTGTTCATCTTTAAAAAGTATAAAATTGTTTGATTACTTATTTAATATTTTTGTAATAAAAATAAAATAAAAAATTTAGAGTAAATTATATTAGTGGTCCCTTCGTTTGTTTAAAATTTTGGATTTGATCCTTAAAACAAACTATTTATACTGATGGTTTTTAACTTTTTATTTTCATAACATTCATGGTTCTTTGACTTAACGGTGTTAACTTTCTACAATTGAGATGCAAAATTTGTTTGTATATACTAAATTTTAGAGTGAAATATATTGGATTTATTTAGTTTGATTTTATTTTATTTTGTGTTTTTTTATGATAAGTTGTGTTTGTTTAATTTAATTAAAAGTAAGATTTCATAAATAATTTAGAAGTTGTTTATTTATCTCTTAATAGTTTTATTAAGATGCAATTTTTAAATAGTTAAAAGGTGAATCTTGTTTGGGCTTTAGCAAAAAAAAATTGTATTTTAATGGTTCTAAAACTCTTTGAATGAATTTGTATCTTGGACCTTTCTTAACCATTTAGCGCCATAATTTCATTCTGAACATTATCAAACAATTATATTTCATTTTGTATTACATCATAAGAGCCTTTTAACCAGTATACACTTAATCATTCAACAACTATCAAACAGTCTCTAACTTATCTAAAATTTGACTTTAGTTTGTAGAATAAATATACGAAAATGATGCAAAGTTATTTCATTTTGAGATTGTAAGCATGTGTAATTCAAATATATATATATATATATGGTTGGATTCACGTGAGATCAATGGTTTTTCGTGAGACCCGTAAGACCAATTTATGTTCATTGATCAACTTTATAAGTTAATGATCTAATGGTCTAAAGTTGTATGGTGACAATTTTGTAATTATTGAGAAGTTTCGTGGCGTTTATGAATGTTCAAATCTAACGATTGTAAATCTAATTCAAGGGTTGAGAATTAGTCTTACGGGTGTCACGAAAAACTATTGGTCTCATATGATCCCAAGTATATATATATATATATGTGTGTGTGTGTGTGTGTGTGTGTATTTATGTAAATGTAAAGAAATCCAAGTCTCATTCTTGTATTAAACTAAACTCTATGATTAAGCATAAGTAAAAAAGATATATGTTTAGCATGTAACTACATAGAAAAACATAAAGCAGACATTTAAAAGACATCATCATTGGATAAATATACATTGTAAAATTATAATTATTCTTTACTATTATTTCTATTTAAAATAACTTTATCATGATTAACAAATTTGATCAAGATTTGGAAGAAAAATAAAATAAAAATGATTAATGTTTTATTAAAATTACACTTGATTTTAACTCAAAATTTTATTATTATTACATATCTACAAAACTTGAACTTTGCTGATCTGGAATGGAGCCAGGATGGGATATCTCTCGTCCAGTCGTCCTTGACCCTGATTAATGATAATAATAACTATGCATATATATATATAGAGAGAGAGAGGGAGGACGTTTCAAATGCAACTCATCACATTTGTATAATCAATGTAACCCAATCAATTAAAATATTTATGGAAATAATGAGAGTTCATTTATTATGATTTAAATATTTATGAAAGATGACTAGAGTTCATTAATTATGATCAATTTTTATAGTAGGAAAATAATCAAAACTTTTATGAAATCATATATTAATCTAATTAAATGGACGATTGAGATTGAGTTGTATTGGTTGTACAAATTTAAAGGGTTGTATAATAACTCTCTCTCTCTCTCACACATATATATATATATATATGTATGTATATAATTATTAGAAATGAGAAACTCAATAAGTATATCAAAATTTGATGACGTAAGCTTGTAAAAGAAATTATGTTATCGGTTTGATTATTGGCCGGAGAATTTTGGTGATAACAACACAGTACAAGATTTTAGTTATCAGGTATATTAATTGATATATATGTATATTTAAACTAGATTTGTTTGGTGTTATTCTTGTATAAATTAATTAATTATAAGATTATAAATTACAAGAAAATAAAAGTCAAATATAATTATTACAGAAATCAATCACTTAATAAAAGGAGAGAGAGAGAGATGGTCAAATTGCATTGTGCGATGAGAAGGAGTATGATTCCAAAAGTCCCCACATCCAACACACAACTTCTGTCTTCATCATTTCCTCTCTTTTTTTTTTAAAATATTAATAAAAATATTCAACTATAAATTAGATTTATAACAAGTAAATAGAAAAATCTTATGAATTTAAATCAAAATTAAGAAAATTAAACAAACCGAATAAATCAATAAAAACCATGTTTTTGAGCTTATTAAAAAAAACTAACTTAAAGTTTTTAGGCTAATATAAAAAAAAAACTTGTTATCTATACTATATTATAAAGCATTTGACAAAAACTTTTAAAAATTATTTTTTATGTACGAAGTTAATTTATTGATGCATATTACTTAAAATTCAAGATTACAAGTAAATTGTGCGCAAGTACAATTTATAAAAGCTTCATGTTTGAATTCGTGTAACTAACTGCAGATAAACATAATCAAATAGAGGATAAATATCTCATTTTAAAATATAAAAAATCTAAAATACAATTAGGATAATTATTGAGTTCTAACAAAATAATTAATTATTATCCTTATCACAAATTATATTATTAAACTAAATATAAATTACTTTGTTATTGAACCTACATTAAATTATAATAAAAGGTTGAATTAAAAAATTACACAAAAAAATGAAAAAATTTAAGTAGTTAATTTGATACTAATATTGATATATTTTTGTCAATTCTTATGATATCTTCAAATTTATATTTTAATCAAAAATAAAAACAGTATCGCTTATTATAACATCAACCGAGAGTCCGAGATAAAGAATAAAACAAAATATTAAAATCAAGATGTATCTCGTTGCATTGCGCAAATACCCTTCTAGTACTTTTTTAAAAGAAAAAATTTTAACAGTCGGTTTATATGTATAATGAAATAATTGTTGGGTATGTTTTAGGGGTTGTTTACTAAACACTTAGCGGATAAATTTCTTTATCGGATGAACATGAGAAGGGCCACGAATCTTACCGGGTAAGAGAAATAAGAATGATGGTGAGTCTTACCCAGTAAGTGAGGATGACAACTCTTACTCAGGTAAGCGTTTATCCAATAAATTGTTGCATTCGATATGTTTTGATGTACTAAAATCTTGCGCATCAAAATAAATCATAGTGTTGACTCCTGTCGGTAAGCGCTTATCGGGTAAGCAATTGGATAAACGACCTCTTATTAAAAATATATGTCACCAACAAGAAAATAGCATGAATTTTGTATAATATTTGAAATAAATATTTTCAGAGTGGTTGAGATTTATGATATATTGTAATTAATAGTTTCATATGAAAAAAGTCAATGTGAAAATTGGGCTAACAACATCATCAATAAATGATTTGTGTATTTAATTTCTTGTGTTCCACAAGACATGATGAAAGGGAAATAATATTTGTGTCGTTTCAAATATATAATATTATATATCGTAAAATATGTATAACAATTTTATTAAGGAATGGCAGTTATTTTTCGTATGGTTTTTATATAATGAGGTCAGATAGGTACTTATATATAAGGTTTAGAGGGTGTTTGGGATTACGGATAAAAATAACTTATTGATTTATTCTGGTGTGACACCAGTAAGAAACACTTTTGCTAATCATGGCAAGACTAGTTGTCATCGCTTACCGGATAAGACTTTTGATCCTTACCTCGCTCTTAGCGGGTAAGTTTTTTGGTTATTGTCCATATTTATCCGGTAAGATAATTTGACTTGGTAAGCACTTATTCGAATAAGCATTTAATAAACGGTACACAACAGTGTTTATAAGTGTTTTTTCTCATAATAACAAAATATGTGTGTATATATGATGTGTTCATCGCTTGTTTGCATACACACTCACATGTACATTTCCTTTTCTTTTCGAAATTCGAGAACACGGCGTTGGAGAAACATTAAGGTGCCGTTTACCAAATGCTTACCCGGGTAAGCGCTTACCAAGTCACTTTACTTTACCGGATGAATATGGCAAAGACTAAAAGAATCGAGAGTCTTACCCTATAAATGAGGACGAAAACTCTTAGGTTAGCGCTGACCGGGATAAGTTGTTGTATACAATACGTTTTGATGAATAAAATCTTACCTGGTAAGTAAGTGATAGTGTTGAATTTTACCGATAAGTGCTTACCGGGTAAGTGATTAAGTAAACGGCCCCTAAAACTTATCAAAGGAAAATAAGAATATAAAATGAAGTAGAAGGAAAGCAAGAAGAAAATCAAAGTTGGTCCTTTTGTACCATATGATATGAGTAGACACTTTGGCCCCTCAAAAAGATTGCTTGGACCAAGTCAAACACGCTCGCTTTATAACATGAGTAAATAAGTAGAGAACCTTGCATGCTACTTAGCTTTCAGGAAGCATATTTTCAAAACTAACCTGCAAATGCCCTCCTTTCTTAAACACTGGTCCCATTTCTGTCACTACTATTTTTATCACAAAAAAACCTAATACAACGCTTTTTCAGGTACTAAATAACTCAATATTACAATTTAAAACCCGAAAATAACTTCTAAAATATTCCCTGCAACGGACCCGGTGACGAACCAACTTCATTCCGGCTTCTGGGCATGTTCCAAAACACACTTAAAACCCACTTGCTTTAGGGGTGCTTTAAGTTGATGGGGTGAGTTTTCATTTAAAACCTACGGATGTCTTTCGGTGGCTTGAAGTTGACGGGATGAGTTTCAGGGGTTGCGTTTTCGTCTTCTTTCCACATTTTGATCGTTTTGTCGGCTTCACATGTAATGAGCCTCGAGCCTGTTATGTCGTAAGATAATGCGTAAATTCCAGCCTCGCTATCCAGTGAACCTGAAAAATGAAATACAAGATTTGGATACTCTATACATGCAAAAGTAAATGATTGATATATGAAAGGATGATATAAAAGAACACGTACCAGGTTGAACGATTGTTTGAGATTGTTGAAAACTATGACCGCTTTTCCAGTCCCAGAACCACAAACTCCCATTATCGCCTTTCATCAAAAAGATTATATATGTTCGATTAATCGAACACGTATTTGATCAAATAAAATTTTGTATATTTCAAAAATGCAGTCATTAGCTTTGTAGTTCTAACTATTTTCAAGACTTCCAACTCATCCGCACTCCTTTTTCCGTATATTCATGTTATATTATATGTTCTTTTTCTTAAATCAAGAAAAGAAATACATTAATGGAGGATAGATGCCAAAGTCATGTTACAACTTTACCGAGTTAACACGTGTGTGTGAAACGACGAGAAGTGGAACAAATTTCCAGCAGCAAGCATCAAATGGCAAGTTGTAAGTCACTTTTTCACATGATGCAAGAGTCAATGACTGCTACTCAAGATTTATGCAGTCACTGCTAACTATTTACTCCTCTTACACACACACATGCACACATACATACATATATATATATATATATATATTCACAATTATTAGCATACGACGATTGTAAAGAAACTCACCTCCTGTAGCCAACACACCCTCTTCATTGACTGTCATAGCATTAATTATGGTCTTTTGTTGGGAACTGCAGATGAAAAACAAGTGAATTAACTTGCTTAGAATTTGCTTTATATAAACAGATGACACAAGTATTGTTTTTCTATTTTTTTTTTATTTCAATCAAAATAATAAAGATGCTACACAAACAACATATCAATTATAAAATGCAGAGGGTAGCACCAAATAAGCAAAATTTTGTTTCTCAAGTGAGAGATAACCCACCAACCATATTAGGTCTTTAATTTTATGTTTACGAGCAAGTTCTAATATCAATTAGAAATTTGCATCCATTTATTTGTAAGAGCAATTTGGCTGCTAAAAAACAAACAAGTATGGCACCGAGCATGAGACCAAAGGAAAGCTAGAAAAGCAACAAATATCAACTGAAAGCCGAAGGGTAACAACTGATCATAACTACACAATTCTGGTAATATCTCGAGGGTAAGAACGAAAAACCACACCAGTACACGAAATAGATGGAAATCAACACAGTAAGCCACATGACGTTAAGTTGTTATGATCATCTATCAGCAATATGTAACCTCCTGATCCTATTTTCAACATGAATTCTTCTTGATAAGACACTTCTAACTGTCAAACATCGTAGGAGATATCTATCTAATTAAGCTTATCACACAGCCCACACAAAATACTACTCCATCCATCCTGACTTGGAATATAGTTTGATTGAAGTACGTATCTAATATACCCCCTCAATACTGACAAATAATAGATAAATATTTTAGACCAAAACAATTACTTCATGCTTCGTAATCGTCACTTAGCAGCAAAAATGTAATTTGAAACTTCTACAAAAAGAATATTGCATATACAATGGGACATCCTAAAAGAAAATTGTTGCATTTATATTGGTAAAACTTTTTGTTTAGGTAGGTAAACGGAAAACTCACAGCATATTGTGCAAAAAGTCTCCTCTTGGAAGGCTGAACTTTTTTATGTTGTCAGCTGATGCAGAAGCAAAACTATCCCTGCAATATCAAAAGACAAATTAGTTTTAAGGTCACAGGTAGACGTAAACAAAAATGACATGTTAACAAAAAATAAAATAGTTGGAATATGATATGAAATAAACCGATACGTACTCGGTAGGATGCTGGGCCAATGCACGCACTGATTTCTTATGATGGGTAAGAGTTGCCATTGTTCTACCTAGAAGAAGAGCGACCAGCTTAAATCCATATCAATGAAATAAGCATTCAACAAGCACAAGTTTAAATGAGAATCGTAAACATGTAGAGAGCCTAGGAACCAATTATTCATGATGAATATCCTGAAAAATGAAAATGCATGTATTCTTGCTGAATAATATTCATGAATATGTTAGGGTTATTCATCATGAATGGTTCATTAAATGGTTGGTTCCCAGGTTATCATTTGAACTTTCCCCGCCTTCAACATTAAAAAAGAAGTATTACCATATCTAAGATCCCAGAACTTAATGGTTGAATCATGGGAGCCGGTTACAACTTGAGGATCCTGGAAGAACATATACCATGTTAACCTTTTCAGCAATAAAAAAGCAGTAATCATGACAAACATCTCTAGATTCATTTTGAACATATTTTCTTCTTTGATGTACAAAATAAGTTTAAACAGTTTGATAAACAGAAACATCTGAGCCTATTAGGATTTCTTACCGTAGGTCGAGTAAAAACTGAACAAACTGTATTGTCATGACCAGATAGAGCATGAATTTGCATCTTGCTGCGAATGTCCCATACCTAAATTATTATGCCAAACGTTAAACTTCATAATTTTATAAATTAGCTATTCAATTGTCCTACCAAAAAAAGGAACAATGTTAAGCAGTTTAATTCCATACCCGGCAAACAGAATCACGACCCCCAGTAAGCAGAACATCAATAGTTGGATGAAGTGCTAAGCAATATACACCACTTAGATGGCCATGATATGACCGAATAACCTTTCAAAACAAAAAACAGAAATTTCAGAAAGCATACCCCATAATGATTACTTGTGCAGTTGCACATACAAAAAAAGAAAAGAAGCCAAAGAGTCATTGGCCCAACGGTACTCGGGTCACCGCTAGAGCCCACCGTCCCAGGAGGTCAAGGCATTCATACCTCACCAATGTTGAGTACGATTTCTGAGTATTCAATGTATAGATACTATATACTTTCAAAAAAAGGAGAAAAGAGAAGGAAAAGATGGATGAAGATCAGTGGATTTTATTTTGGTCAGTGATCAACCTTGTTCTGTTCTAGATCCCAGCATTTAACTTGTTTGTCATCACCAGCAGAGAACATGTAGGTGTGCCTAGTGCTAACAGCAAGGCCTGCAAAAATAGGATATTTGTTTCAGATGCAAAGTGGTTAGGATCAATGGCAACATGGTTAGTCAATTTCTTAATAAGCAAACAAGTAGTTAATTTAAAAAACCAAACCTCGAACTTGTTCTATATGCCCTGTGAGTGTCAACCTTAATCTTCCTGATCCCACATCCCAGATCTGTCCACAATCGATAAAACTCCTTTAATGACAGTCTAAGAAAATAATGATTCATAGATACAGAATTGTTGATGATTCATAAAACTGTAAACTCAAATTGGTGTTAGTTTTTACCAAACTAGAGGTAAATTGAGTGAAAATTTAGAGCAGTGAAACAAGTTTTAGTAGATGTTATATGAGTGGGATGTCAACGGATATTCAGAAATATGATTATAGTTTGCTTTCACGTTTATTTCATGCAGATATTATTTGTATCTATTTAAAATAGATACGTACACGATAATATATATCTGAATAGTAAATGGGTAAGAATATAGTAGTGCATTTAATCCACTTCACATCCACTCCATTTGCATATTTGCTAGATATATCCATTTAGATATTTGATATGACCGATGACAACTTGCCGACTACTTGCATGCCCAAGTGCAGATGGGCACACACACGAATACATGCACAGAATATCTATCTAAACATGTTATGTCTGATTAAAGCACTTCTATTATCAATATGTCGTTGATCTAATGTTGGAAAATGTTCCATAGTTCCAAGATTATTGATTAGCTAGAAGTTGGCTGATATATATTTTTCAATGATCAATGAGAATTATCCTTGTAATTTAGGGCACATTCATAGTTCTGTTACTTGATCTCCTAAATGGCCCATATGTCAAAGGATATGCTTCCAGATATTTATGATGATGTATAATTTAACTTTGATAGTTATTTCTGATCCACCTAGTAAAGTGGTTTTATTTTCTACGAGGTTTATGCTAGGGTAGAAAGTGATGACCAACATCTCTGCTGGGACCTTCAATGGGTACAGATTAAAAAAAATGTCCAAACCCCCACACAAGTTTATGTAGAATGATTGAAGGTGTGATGCTAAGATTTCTAGAGAAAAGGTAAGCTCGTCGGTTGGAAACTAAGACATGATGTGTTCCGGAAATGAATTAGCAAGGTGAGAAGGGAACAACGTGGAAGTAATACCTGATGGATTTTGGGAGTGTGATCATGACTTCATTGCTATAAGTAATGAAGTGGCTTGATTACGATGGTATCAAACTAACACAGCCTAGAAGAGCAAATATCCAGGAATCTTGTGTAAGAGTCCCTGAGATAGAGTTCCGACTTCTAACTTTACTGGATCAAACAATAACCTAAGCCTTCTACCTTTTGGGTAGGCTAAAAAAGAAGAACAAATAATATACAAAATAAATAAAGGTATATAGGCTTTTTTTCACTTTTCCATCAAGCTTTCGACCAGCTCTTTCAACCTATTTCAGAGTTTACTTACCACAATCAAAGAAAAGACGAAAGCAGCTCTTGAAGAGACATGTTTACGTTGGTAACTTAATGTACCTACTCTTCTGGGACCATCAGAAACCTTAATCTTTAAGACAGCAAACGGTAACATAAATGACAATAATTGTAGTAGAAGGCTTACTATTTTGATACTGTTCGGTCGGAACCAGATTGCCACATGACATTACAGGAAAACCCAGGTAACCATGATTCCAGAACCATAATGGACAGAACAAAGTGAGTTGAGAACCATCAGATATTGGTGGAGTACCTTTAGCAATTGCACACATGTATGATGTACCCAGTCTAATAAACAAGCTCATAATCTTATGGTCAAAAAAGGCTTGTCTCCTTTTCAAAAAAACTCATACTCTTCTAAGGAATCACAATCTTAATAACCCATATATACAAAATTTACTGGAGCAAATAATATTTGTTCCCTAACATGCACTGAAAAGAATTATAATGATTACCTTGATCGTTCGATCAGCAGAGCCCGTGCAGAACCACTGATTACTTGGATCAAATGCGATAGATCTCACCCATCCCAAATGGCCACTGATGACCTACAGATATATTAGTTCAGTTTGATAGGCATAAACAAGACAACAAAAAGAATTAGACAACTACTTAGCTATGTATAAGGATAAAATATGCAAATTGTTGGTGTTCCATATAAATGTAAATAAGTAAATTCACAAAATATGAGATGCAAAGAAAAAACTAAGTGTGTTAAGCAGATGCGGATAACTGCAAACTGTCACCATCCTCTTCAAAAAGGCAAGAGATCTCTCATCCAGGAGATGATGAGATTCCAAGAGAGAAACCACTGGTGTCTTTACATTTAAGTACTAATAGACCATTAATCTACCCTGAAAGCACCAACTTATCATGAATAAAAAATTATGGTTACAAATATTTATGGTTAATGATACTTTATTGTTCAAGTGTACCTGGGCATTACTTATGCATGTATAATCTATTTATAGTCCTAAAATCTATTGTGCATGTCATGGAAATTCAAATAGAATCAACTAAGCAAGTATACACATAAAAACATACTCCCTTGTCCCAAAGTAAATGTCCACAGAGAAAAGGCACGCAGTTCTAGAAATGTGTAATCATTATACTCTTTTGATTAACTAAATAACAACTCTACCCTTAATAATAGAGGGAGTAATGAATTTCTCCATTTCATAATTAAGGGTGGAATTGGAAAGTAGGCACTTAATTTTCAAAGTACACTTATTTTGGGACAAACTAAAATAAAAATGTGGGACACTTATTTTGGGATGGAGGGAGTACTTTATATTATGCAAGCAGAAGTGGTATCTGATAATAGGATGCAAATATTGACATCCTATAGGCAAGTCATTCAAACAACCATAAATATAACTCACAGCTTCTAAATCCAGCTCATATAACATATACATTAAAATACAGAGGGTGAACCTCACCCATTTAAGTAGACATATAAAAAAATTCAAGCAGGAGTCCCTTGCACACTTAGAAGATCAAGGCTCTCACGAGAGGGTCATTGGCCCAGCGATACCCGGGTTACTGGTAGGCCCAGCCTCCCAAGAGGTCAAGGGTTCAAACCTCACCAATGGTGAGAAGTGTGCATGAGTATTTGCCATATATGAACATTATATACTGTAAAAATAAAAGATCAAGGTTCTCACTCTGTAGTTCTTCCATGGAGCATGCCATACAGGACGTGGCCACCTGCTAGGGATTCTCTCCATAAGGGCTGCAGTTGAGAGATTCCTACAAGAATCAAGTCAAGCCATTAAAACCACAAAGACGAGACTTCAAAGAGGTAGCAATTATAAAAGATGTTACAAAAGGGCTGATGTTAACAGGCAACCTCGTAGGATACAATAACAATTGAACTGAATGCATCAGGGCACATTTAATTCATGTTGGAAAGTAATGGCACATTGGCATATTTGAACATAGAGCTCTAATAGAACTACTACTGATCACAGCTAATGAAAAAAGAAATAAAAAGGAAAACCAGGTTTCAACAGTCTGTTGTATTGTAGCAACAGTAACATTGCATAATCTGAAATACTTCCAGCATTTATGATACGTCAAATAACATTTTCAAAGTATGGTGGAAGTATCATTAAAGGTTTTAAACGGCGCAATCGGGCCTCGAGGCGTAAGCCTCAAGGTGGTCCGAGGCGTAAGACAGAGGAGGAAATACATATACACCAAAATATGTGTATATACTACACAAATATAAACAATATATATTATACTAAATTACTAAGGGCGCTTGTTCAGTGAATCTTGACAGAAGAAAGAGTGAAACCGTGAGATAGGCTGAGAGGGTGTGAAAAAATTGGTTGCTTGGAGGAAGAGGAAGGGTCAAACCACACTTTTTGATTGAGAGTATTAAAATATTAAAAGTACACGCAGGGGCCAATGGGCTTTGACTTTTAGTTTTTTAAAATAAAAAGAGAAATTTATACTAGAGAGAAAAATTACTACTGCTGCCATAAAGCTTATAAAAAAGCCAAAAAAGCCATTACTAAAGCAGATCATCTGTCGCCTATGCCTCGACACCGCCTCAAGCCTCACTGAACCGCTCACTGAACCAAGGCATAAGCCTCGTCCAGGGTCCAAGAGGCGTCGCCTCAGGTGCAGTTTTGGGCCGCCTCGCCCCAAACGATTTTAAAACCATGTAATTACTAATTTACTATAGGAAGACTGACTAAAAAGCAGAAATTTTGAAGTTTAACCTTCATGATAGTAAACTACAAAATATGGAGAAAGAGACGAGCTTTCAATATATGTAAAAAGTACAAGCAAATCCAAACCTGTCTGAAGTCCCATGAACAGGAATGACGGCAGTACTTTTTCCAGTCAAGTTACCATCGCCTCTGTCAAACAGAAATTCACATAACCAATTCAGTTTCCAACTAAAAGTATTTTCTAGAAGAAGATCAAGGTAGCAACAAATGCTGGCAGCAGACACAATGGATTTTGTATCAGGTTCACGAACATTGGAATGAGGATATTGCTGCAGAACCATTAAAAAGAAAAATAATGCTTACGTGTTCTTTGGTTGAACAGGAGTAAGGGCTAAATCACTCTGAGTACCATTCTTCTTAGAGCTTTCAGTTCCTACAAATAAAGTTGGATAGAAGTCAAAAGATGAAACTCCTCATCCTGTTATAATCTAAAGGCATTTTTCAATTCTTCACTATCGTATCCATAAAATGTTATTTGATCGAGGTACACTTTGGTTTTCACTTTCACGGGAAGTTTCATTTCATAAGAAAAACTAAAAGGAACTGTTGTTGGGCATAGATTGGTCTTCAACATAAAAAGTTATATGCATGATATACAGTTTATATCTAAGTCAGTTCATCAGTCAATAACCAGGTTTAATTCCAAAGTAAAATGTTAGGTGAGCCAATCCCTCAAGGATGAAATTTGACTTCTCAAAATCTCCATCAGTAATGGCACTGTACTTTCGGGTTTTCATGCGTCCAAGTAAAGATATGTTCTGCTCATGCGAGGCAGATTTATTCCAAACAGGCACATATATGAAACTTTCGACAAATTTATTAGACCTACAGCTTCACAGGCTATAAACAATGTCTTATATTAGACCAAATACTGCCTTATATTGAACTAAAAATGTCTCAATATTGCAAGTAATTTTGTCTAATGCGAAGTTGAAGGTCTTTCCCTTTTATTTGGGAAATTGATCTTATGTTTGGAAGAAAACCTATTGGTTTAAATGAAGTTGACTTCATGTCTGCATTGGGCATAATGCTCTAGTTCAATAAATAGCAACCATCCTTAAGACTGACCATTGGTTACTCATAGAAGAGCAATCATAGGCTTAGCATACATTCTAATATCCTATGACTATTTATTTACAGTAAATAAAATTCAACAATCCAACACATGCAAAACAAGCTTAGATGCTTAGTATCAGGCGTTATTGCTGGATAAGAAAGATGTAAAATTACTGGTACCTGGTAGCACCAGAGCATTTGAGTTCGAAGGCTCAACTTGATTTTGCGAGGCATTTTTGGCAGGCTGGTTTGGAACGGTTTTTATTCCACCGTACTCAACATGTAGCTTCATCGTCACAAAAACACACACATAAACCCACATCATATACATAACAAGGTATTAAGCACAAACACAAGAAACAATAGTGCATGTTCCTTTCGTTCAGAAAAAGATGGATAATCCTTGACATCTAAATTCTGATATAACATCTAGTACTCCAAATTGAAATCAAAATGCATATTATTATAAATTAGATCAAATGTGGTTCAATGTGTAAATTTGTGCTACAGTTTAATGTGATTCTCAAACTTTTCTCTAAAATTTGAATGTTATATAACAAATTGGATGAAAAAAGTAGTTCGTTTGGACCCGAAATCAATTAAACTAATATGCATCAAAGAAACACAGCATGGTAAAGCATGCATACATGAAAGAATATATAGAGTGAAAATATAGAGAGCTACTAACCTTATGGCTCATACGTATCTTCTTGCTGTAGTGTATCAGGTAAAAAATGATTAGATCACATTATCGACATACTAGATGAGAATATGTACGTTCAGAAATCAAAATTAGGGTTTTAAACAAACCTCTCAAGGTCAGGAGGGGGCAATTGAGAATGAAGAGGAGAAAAGAGATCGAGAGCCCGTTTCAGGGATTTAAAGCTGAGCTTCTTCAGTGATTGTGGTTCCACTGGCAGTTCTGACTCCATTGTTGGCCCTGGCATCTTTGTGTGTGTTCGAAGAGACCCAGCAGATACCAAAAGAATGCAAAGGAAGTGGCAGCTCGAAGCAGCTGGAGAGGAAAATGTTGAAGTAAGGTTTGGCAAAATGTTGATCTTCTTGTGTATAGTCAGCAAATAATTTTATTCACTGAAATCAAAATCAGATCATTATCTAATTATCTTACTGTATTATACAGCTAGAGCTATAACCAAGGCCCAAGGCTATAAGTACCAGAAGCTTACAAGCGAGTGATGTGAATACCACTCGTAAACTTACACTAGCATGAGCAATATTTGGTAACAGCTAAAACATACCACTCGTAAACTTACACTAGCATGAGCAATATTTGGTAACAGCTAAAACCAGTCAAAAACTTGAGAGCACCCCTATTTCATCCTCATTGCCACTTCAAGATTCTACAATGGCTAACGCTTCTGGCAAATTACGGTTATACAGACACTTGCAGACCTTAAAACAATAATTTGAGATAGAAACCCTCGCAATGGGATATAAATCAGAAAGAGTTACAACTCTAAGTGAAACAGAAGTTCGAATATAAACAAAACAAAACCCTAAAACCGACAATTTGAGACCGAATATCAAAACAAAACCCTAAACACATGCGAACTCCGCGTCCAAGCTTGTAACATCTAATTTTTAAGAATATAGTAGGAAAACTAACACCATCTACTAATAACTACGGCATAAACGTCTAACTTCAACGGAGAACTTTCAAATATTTAGATAAAAAATTAAAAGAAGTTCAACTCGAAGATTTAGATTGGTTACCAGGAAGGACGATGGCGGCAGGTTAAGGCTGGAGGGCTGAGGAAGGCGATGCCGGTGGAAGGGGTACCGTATTTGAGGCTCTGAGCTTTGATTTGGGCAATTGATTCCGGTTATCTTGTTTATTTGGCTTTTTACTTGGAGATAAATTCACATCGCTACATATTCTTAGTGTTAGGAATTTTAAGGAATTTTAACTTTCATTGGTTTTATTGAAGAATATTTAAATATCATATAAGTTACATTTGATTTTTATATATTAATATAATCTGAATAAATAAGAGTTATGATTTCAATTACAGTTTATCGATGAAAAAAATTATATGACAATTTAAAATCCAACATATTTAAACAACTCAACACATGTGTTCGATTTACACCAAGAACAAAGAATCAAAAGATCGAGAACGAGATCGAGAGTTCTAGAGTAACTGAATGGGAGAACTTTTAATAACTCATGTGAATATCAGTTTGAATCTCATATTGGGGGATGGGGATAAGACATAAAGGTATAAGAGGGTGAATGCATGGGTGAAATGTGTCAAAAGTATCTTGAGAACATGAAAATAAAAGGTAATAATGTACATTGGTAACTTGTATTATATGTTATTTTAATTGTAGATTAAAAGATTTTAAGACTGAATGTATAAAGTAATAGTACTTGATCATTATGAGTTGTTTTTAAGACTTTTAAGACTTTGTGCATAAATTGTATAGTAATTTGTGCATTAAAAGTTGTTTTTAAGACTTCTGATAAATTTGGTTTATAAGGTATTATAGATATAGATAACTAGTTGATAATTTTTTAGAAAAAAAAAATTCAAACTAATATTGAAATATTACAATGTCAACTTATCTATGTGTCATTTTCTTTTATTAGAGTTATAAATAATAAATATAATGATTAATTTATTGACATTCATATTTTTATTTTTATTTCATATTATCATCATCACAATTGTTGACATGTTACGCTCAATCATTCTAATACATAACTAAAACTTTAAACTATCATTAACTAAATTGTAACATCCAACTTACTAAAAGTCCATTTATGTTGTTAAGCATGTTTAACTACGTCAATAAAATATATTATGGATTTGTGCTTACTTATGTTGGTTGAAAAGTGAAAATGAGAAAAGTGCAAAGATAAAAAAAAATGTCTAATTGTGCACTATAAGGTCATATAGAGAAACTCGTGTTCCTGTAGTAAATTAATGCAAGTGGATAGTACCAACACTTCTCATTAGATGTAAAAAAACAATCGTTTGGAAGTTATAAAGGTACGATGTTATAAAAAAAATTATAAGTGAAAAATAGCAAAGTTAGATTAGAATATGGACTTCTGAATCGAATTAGAAGCTGAAATTTTATACTTAAGCTTATTATAGGTTGATTAAGAGATCTGGAAAGTTTCGTACGAAACGAAGTTGAAACGACCAAGATACGCATAAGTGACTAAATCTACCAACAGTGGCAAACTAGGTTGACTTGTTGACTAAAATAGTACAAAAATGGGATTTGCACTCTTAAATGATAATTTCACCTCTAGAACTTTTATACACACTCAAAGATGCGATTTTCACATAGTATACTCATCCAAGCTCAAAATCAACAAGTTTTTGGTGAAATTGAAAGATTAAGCAAAGGGGTATTAATATGGATATCTAGAGCTTGGCATGGGCTAATTCCATTGTTGGGTTGGAAATGGAAATTTCCGCGGTTGAATCATCTCGAAACATAGTGAGTTTATATCGAACGTGTACTTAGGTGTATTATACATTTATTTTTAATTTTTTTCCTGTTTGTTTGATGAATTTACATGTGTTATCGAATATCTTGAGCGTGTCGAGTCCTATGGTCTTGAATTGGTATTTGTTGTTCATTCCGAGATGTCGGTCGAGTTTGGATCTGAGCCCTTCTTTTTGGTATATAAGTAAACCATGATCTACGGGTATTACTCTGTGTGATATGTTGTAGCGTGGTATATGTCCACGTATCCTAAGTAGAGGGAGATTGGGTGTGACATACCGGTTGTCGTACTCACGTATCTCGAATGGCAAGGAGTCGGGTGTGAGTACTTTGCACAGACCCAGTAGATGAAGAGGGGGTGTGGTGCACACATTTACTCTATTCTTGTTGATCATGCTACTGAATTATTATGATCGACATGGTTTCATTGACGCTAAGTACTTTGTGAGTTGTATGGCTTCTTGATACGTTGATTTGATTCGGTACCGAAATCATATATGTAACCCGTTGATTCTAAATTTAATTACAAATTTGTAAGATATGTTATGTACTCATTTTATGGTTTGATTATGATTCAGTAAGTGTTCATTTGACGTATTAGGAATCAATGAGTCGTTATGGTTTTGTTAATACTATACGTGATATGTTCGGCACGATTTGAAAGCTAGAGATTAATCGGTTCTGCCTCCTAATTCTTTTGTTAAGATATGTATATTGCATCTAATTTCATGCTTTGATATATACTCACTAAGCGATTCACTTACCCCCTTAAGTTTAAAATCTCAAGAAAAATCGACACGAGTCGAGGTAAAGGCAAGGTGGGTTAGCTTTCGATTTACACATAGAAGATTTTGAAGTAACTTTTGGTACATGTTTCGTATGTTTTTGATGTTTCGGGTTTGTAATAATTACTCGTATGTTGGGTAGTTATACTATTGTCCTGACTTTTGGTTTGTAAAAGTCTTAGTTTGTAAGTTGTTTAAACTGTTTTCGAACGATGTTTGACTTATAGGTCAAACTAAACTTAACTTTTGGTAGATAATTAGAAACTGTATCTCGTCTTGGTTCCGGGTGAATTTTTTGATCGGTTAAATATTCTTGAAAATTTGTATTTTTTATTTTAGTGTAATCGCGATGTTACATAAATCTCTTCAAAATAGTAAACACAACAATTATTATTTTATTTACCAAATATATAAAAAAATTAAAATTTTCTTTTTTTTTATACAAAGTCTTTAATCTCGTTGTCTGCATAACATAATCAATTTATACCCAATAAAAAACCATCAATTTTTTCTTTTCGCATTACAAAATATGATATTATATAAGTAAATAAATAAAAGTTTTAAACAAATTTAAATAATTTTAAGTAGTAGTGTTTGCAGTTCGGGTTGGGCGGTTTAACCTCTCAGACCACAAATCAAAACCGTAATGGCGGTTTATAAAATTTTCAAACTGAACGGTTTGATATCAAGTGCCCAGACTGGTCAAACCAGACCACGAAAATACGGTATGATCTGACCGATTTATGCGATTTGGATCTTTAATGGAATTTAAATATTAAACCTATAAAAAAATATAATTTAGAATTTTAGATTAAATATTCATTTTGACAAAACAATATAGGGAATTTCTTAAAGTAAAAAAAGAGCTCATAAAACATGACTTACAAATATGAATTTGGAGACTATGACATATTTGGAGAAATGACGATGTACGCCGATGACCGATCACTTTTAAGTGTTCTTTTAAATAACAGACAGTCACATGATATATACTGGTTTTTTAATGACCACAATACAAAGAATTACATAAAAAATACAAATTGAGAAACTCTATAAATATAAAAGACGAAGAAGAAAATTTATAATAACAAAACTCTACATAGATCACACTCAATCATAATCTGATTGTTGTCAGAAAACAAAAAATAAAAATTTGAATAAACACAACAATATTAATAAAACAAAATAAAAAAACACATAAAAAACACACACACACACACAACAACATAAATAACTTCAAAAATAGGGATGATGAAGAACCATAGTCAATAAAAGAAGACCCCCTCCCCCCCTCTCTCTATATGTATATATCTATATTGTATTATAAAGTATTTGACAAAAACCCTTAAAAACCATTTTTTATATACAAAGTACTGTTTATTGATACATATGACTTAAAATTCAAGATTACAAGTAAATTTTACGTAAGTACAATTTATTAAAGCTTCATGTTTGAATTCGTGCAACTAACTGCAAATAAACATAATATTAGAGGATAAACATCTCATTTTAATTATAAAATATCTAGAATATAATTAGGATAATTATTGAGTTCTAACAGAATACTTAATTGTTATCTTAAAAAACATATTTATTAAATTAAAAATAAATTAACTCGTTTTTTAACTTCAATTAAATTAACGAAATTACGCAAAAACGAGAATTTTTTAGATAGTTAATTTGATACTAATATCGTTTATTTTTTCCAACATTTTATAATATCTTCAAATTTACATTTCATTAAAAAAATAAAAACATTTTATTTTTCTCAAAACCACATAAAATCGCATTATAACATCCGTAGATCCAAAATATAAAGCAAAACATTAGAATCAAAATGTACATCGCTACATTACACGGTTACCCTCCTAAAAATATAAATGATCAACTAAATCTCAAGGATCTATGGAGAACATGTGATCAAAATTCAAAAATATTAATTCTCAAATATGATTGACTAATGTAATAACCGGTAAGCTTCTTTTCTTGTTTTAAATTGCTTAAGGTCTAATTTGGACTGTTGATAAATCTTAAGGGTTATTTGTGAAAATTTAGGAAGGATTCACTCTCTCTTTCCTTCAATCTTTCCAGTTTCCAGTCATGTCCACCATATCTGGGTGAGAATAGAAAGCACATGTGGGGTTAGAGAAGAACGATTTTCATCTATTTTAAAGGAGGTAAATCCATCGCAGCTTAAGGTATTATCTCTTCTCTATTTCTTCTTGCTTAGGGTTCTTCTGGGTGGAGTTTAATTGGGGGATGTATTTCTCAAATTAAGGTTTATATATTAATCGGGAGATGTATTTCTCAAATTAAGGTTTATATGTTAATCGGGAGATGTATTTCTCAAATTGAGGTTTATATGTTAATTGGGAGATGTATTTACACAGGTAAATCGTTGGTATGAAGAATTAGTGGGGTCCTAAGTTCCTTTCGTGGTTGGGATTTGCAGAAATAGCATTGTAATTGTTTCTCTCTTAATGCTCATGTTTTGGGTATTCAAAAATGTAAACCTGAGTGAATAAATTGTTGCACGAGATGTTTTTTAGTGAATAAAATCTTACTCGGTAGACGGTAAGTAAGCGATAATGTTTGAATTTTACCGGTAAGTGCTTACCGAGTAAGTGTTTAGGTAAACGACCCCTGAGTTTGAATGAATGCAACTTTGAGACCTTACTGAACCTTGCTACTGTTACCTTTCTATGCGATTGTGAACTTGCAAGTTCCTTGGGAATCAAAGTGTTGTTGGGGAATTAAAATTGCCATCAATCGAAAATCTCGTTTGAGGGCCGTTCGTTAAGGATTTACTGTTTTGGTCGATTTGTTGAAAAAAGGGAGGGTCAGGGGCTGCCCAACCCCGGGTTGTGACTGTTATTGTCCAGGTGTAAGTGGTGCTTGCAAATGGATAAGGTTAAATTAAGTGTATGGATAAAAAACAAATTTATCCTTTTTTATCCGTATATCCATTACCTGTTTACCTGAAATTTTAGTGTTTTTTGTTATCCCGTTTACATATAGATATATATGTTTGAAGGGTACTCACACAAAGAAACAAAATACATCTTGATTTTAATATTTCGTTTTTTTGTTTCAGTTGATTAAATGATACAGTTTTATGTGGTTTTAAGAAAACTATAATGTTTTTATTTTTAAATAAAATTTAAATATGAAGATATATCATAAAAATTGAAAGAAAATATTAATATTAGTACCAATCTAACTATTTAAAATTTATCATTTTTTTTTGTGTATTTCTCTAATTCATTTTTTTAGTTTTTGGTTTAATAATATAATTTTTATAAAGATGATAATTAAGTATTTTGTTATAACTTAATGATTATCTTAATTATATTTTAGATTTTTTATATTTAAAATAAAATGATTATTCTCTATTTGATTATGTTTATCTGTAGTTAGTTATACGAATTCAAACATGAAGCTTTAATAAGTTGTACTTACGTACAATTAATTGTAATCTTGAATTTTAAGTAATATGCATACATAAACAGTACTTCATACATAAAAAATGATTTTTAATTTTTTTTGTCAAATGTTTTATAATATAATATAAATATATTTACACACATACATACATGTAATCTATATATATAAACACATACATGCATATATATAATTATATAAAGTTAGATATTGATATACTTTTTAGAGTGCTTTATAACATATATTAATTGATAATTTTCTTTTCTGTTCATCTATAAAAGAGTTAATTAGAATAATTAAATGAGAAACAGGTAAAATAAATATAATAAAATGAAATATTGTCTTTAAAATTTTATATTGTTGTATAAAATATTATATTATAATATTTTAGAACAATATTAAAATGTTTATTGGACCAAACAAGATATAGAATAAATATTGCATTTGTGAACTTATGTTTTACTTATATGTCGATGTTTAACAGTATTATTGCAGTTCAAAATGATTTTTTACCATATATCTTTTACCCATTTCGTTGCCCGCTTCTTAATGGGTAGGATATAGATATCGATAAGAGTTTTATGATATGAATAATTATCCGCCACTTTAAATGGATTAGGTAATAGCATAACCCTTGCTTTACCCGTTGACCGTTCTGGGGGGCAAAAGCTATCTAGCCACCCCAAATCGCTGCCCAACAGCAACAACATGGTACAGGTTAAGAGCTGAAACCCTTGCCCAAATTTAAGCAAAAAATTACAGCCTTGTCTGCTGGCTTTGGAAGCTGATTTCAATCGGTTTAATCCACTCTTGGATGGATTTTATATGGGGTTTTTAAGCCGAGTATTAACCGGGTTTAGAGCAGATTTCTTATTGCTATATTATGAGCTCATGTCCCTTTATTACCAATTTATCGAGGTTGATTTTTCTTTCTATGCTTTGAGTTTGCTTTAGAATAAGACACGACTTAGGTGATGGATAACTAACACGACATGAGTGATGTATGGGGAGCAATAGTGGTTCACGTAAACGTTAGTGGATATTCCGTGAATTTGTTTCACGGACTTTCATTGTAGTCTCGATTGCGATCTTGACAGTATGACCATAGAACGGGGTGTTAAGCTTATGCGACTGACGTGGCTAGTTAACCATAAGGAATTTGTATTCTTGCGAGATTACATCTAGATGGTTTACTTGTAAATTAGAAGTCTTTTGTTGCGGTTAAATCGTATTTAATTGAAACAAGAAATATTCACTAAACCTTACGGTCTAATCCTTGTTTTTAAAAATAAACGCATTTAAGGACATTCTCATATAGGAGGTTCTGGTAAGATGCAAAAGCGTGAGCTGGTAACTTGGTTGGTCGGTTGCGGTTAGTCAAGATGTTCCGTTAATAGCATGGCTCGCTTTCTTAAGAGTTGTAATAATTAGTGGATTCAGATTAAACCTATCATCGATTAATTAAACACATGAATTCCTTCCTAACAACGGAACTAAACACATGAATGCAATTTACTTAACGGAATAGAACATTCCAATTTCTTTGGATTTTGTTGGAATCCAACCGAACTAAACACGACATACGTAATTCATTGCTTTACTGATATTTAGCTCGTTATGATAATATAACCCATGATTGCATGTGCTCGTGTTTGTTGTTTTAGGGTGACTTTTAATGTTCAGTGATAGTCAAAATACCCGTTAATTAAAAAAAACCTATCATCGATTCGACAATTAACAACATAAGCAACAAAAATTTAAATAAAATATATATTTCCATGTTAAACGTAACCAAAAGCAAATATATATTTGACTCAACTTGAAATCAACATAAGCATTGTTCAGGGGATCTTTGTTTCTACATGTTACGTAATGTAAGATATCGTTGACACATTATTTCAAAATTCCGTCATCTGTTTGTTGTTGATAGTTACTCGCTTACTGTAAAACCAAATCGGATGAAGCATAATGCAAATCACCACAAATATATTCCTCTAGTTTGAAGCGTAAAAACGTGCATATTACTAAGCTTTCACAACCCAACGGTGGAAGGACTGATGAAGTCATATCAATTCCAAACCAACGTGCGTTGCAATCTGTTGTCAACAACCTTGACATCTGATCATTACAAACAAAAACATGTCTTGTTTGTTTCCTGAATTTTTTTAAAATATCCACGGTTTAGTTTTTACATACGTAAACTTATGTTGTAACATGTCGGTTTAAGTATCGTTCGTGCAAAATAACGATCTTAATTTACTACGTAATCGTTATCATTACGACGTAGATACTGAATTGAAACCGATCTGATCCAAATCGAATGGTATTTATACTTGTGATATATACTTGCAATTTTTTAAAGCAAATAAAAATATATGGCTTTTTTTTTTGTGATTAGATATACACCATTTCCATATATCTTCTCCCCCACAACGTGTACTCCCCCAAAAACCTAGAGGGGGGTTTTCATTTCGTTGCACGCAAACGCTTCGATTCTTCATCACAGGTATGTTAACGACTCCCATTTTTGTGAGAATCGGGGCTTCTATTATTCGGCACTATCTAAGCTTGTTATCGTTCTGTTTTAGACTAATTTCTCTAGTTTTTAACTTTGAGATTGTATATGGTTTGGAATTTTATTGATTAAACCGCATTTTACTCTGAAAATGATAGCAGAGGCTGTTGATTTAGACATACATGTGATGGTTGACTTTGTTTTGACTTGATTGAAGTGTAGTTCGAGTGATGTCGATTGTAGAGTGTTAAGTTTTGTGCATTATGCGATCTTTTCGTCGAGAGAATAGCTATTGCTTTATTGATTTCGATGGAGATTTAGTCGGATGATTGACTGGAGGCTGCTTACAAGGATCGAGTATTTGGGGAAATATGGGAAAAATCTACTGAAAGTGTTTTGAGGTTTGATGGGTTCATTTCTAATCAATCAGGCATGGTGATTTTATATTAGATTGACTGAATTTTCATTTTTGTTTTGATTGGTTTAAAGGAAGAAACCCTTTAGGTTTTGGCTGAATCAACATTTCATTTCATTTTTTTGATACCGCTAGATGCAAAAAGGGGGGACATCTAGGTGTACAAAAGCAATTTGGAAATTATTCCTTTATGATGGGAAGGTTATGGTTAGAGTGGAACAACCTATTTTGTAAATTGCGAGAAATATACTTAGATGGTATTAAACTTTTGAGGTTTACTGTTTAATCACAGAGATTGAATCTCCTTCCATTGTTGATGTGGTTTTTGAAACATTTCAGTTGCTATATTCCCAAGATTTCATAATGACAGGTTTTTCGGTTATGCTTTTATTGAAATTGTTGTTTAATTTAGGGGCCGTTTACTAAACACTTACCTTGGTAAGCACTTATCGGTTCAATTACCTTAACATGTGAACACAATAAGGACTGAAAATCTTACCTGGTAAGAGAAAGACAAGGATGGAGAGTCTTACCTCGTAAGTGAGGGTGACGACTCTTACGCGGTAAGTGCTTACCAGGTTATAAACGCTTACCATAAATCCATTTTGATGGCTGAGAATATTACCGATAAAGTAAATAATAAATTAGAGTGGTGACTCTTACCGGTAAGCACTTACCCGGTACATGTCTGGGAACCGGTCCCTATATGTTTGATTAATTCTCCAGTATTCACATGTCATTTTAGTACTAGTGAAGTTTCTGAATCTGTTTTTTTAATTGGTGGTGCATGGATGTAGATACAGCCAAGTCCATTTACTTGGACTTTTGATGGACCAGGTATGATACATTTGTGCCTTCCTACAAGATTTATGATTTGTGTTTCGACTACTTGATTGTGATATATTTCTGCAACCATAGTACGAAAAGGTCGAGAAGATTGGTGAAGGAACATATGGTGTGGTCTACAAGGCTCGTGATAAAGTGACCAATGAAACTATTGCTTTGAAGAAGATTCGTCTAGAGCAGGAAGATGAAGGGGTGCCAAGCACAGCCATCAGAGAGATTTCTCTCTTGAAAGAGATGCAGCATGGAAACATCGTCAGGTAATTCCCATAGTCAATCCTGTGATAGATAAGCTTTGTTATTTGGGTTACATACTATACGAATTAGAAAATGGCATATTTGATTTAAGAGTGTTTAGTTTTCCATAATTAAGATTGGAAACATCAAGGTTGTTTAACTTCTTATTTTTTCATTCGTGTATGAAGTTTAATGATTGACAGGGACGTCTGCTCATTTTGTATAGCAGCATTTCCTTTCAACCTGAATGTGCTGCACTTTCCAGCATCCCTATGTGTTTTTCCATCTTAATATCTTGCATTCTCCACCATCCTTCATAGCAAACAAGATAACAATTTGTTAGTTGGTCTTTTGTTTGAGAAATTTGTCACAAACTGACATCCGAACATTTTGTGTTTTCTGTACCCCAGAATTAAGGTATTCTGGCTTCTTTTTATTTTGGATAAAGGTATTCTGGTGTTGGTTTCATATGCATGCATTTTAGTTTGTGTTCTACAAGCAGATTATATAACAGATTATAACTGTTTGGTGACAGGTTACAGGATGTCGTGCACAGCGACAAACGATTGTATCTGGTTTTCGAGTATCTTGACCTGGATTTGAAGAAACATATGGACTCTTGTCCAGAGTTTGCAAAGGATCCTCGTCTTGTAAAAGTGAGTGAACCTTTTCTGCCTCGGTGGTTGGTCTTGTCGTTATACTCATATTTTTTATGTATGCTGACTTTTCTGCTTATATGCAAGTCCCTCTTTTAGAAGATTTGGATACTAAGAAACTAAATACAGCATAGTACGGATATTAAGAAACTGATACTATTTCACATTTTGTTACCTTCATCTAATTGCAGACGTTTCTATATCAAATACTTCGAGGTATTGCTTATTGCCATTCTCATAGAGTTCTCCATAGAGACCTAAAGCCTCAAAACCTGTTGATTGATCGTCGTACCAATGCTCTAAAGCTGGCAGACTTCGGATTGGCCAGAGCTTTTGGTATCCCTGTCAGGACATTTACACATGAGGTAGTTTCCATGGTTTACGTTTTCCATTTTGTTTTAAATATAATCTGAAATTAATCACTCATGATTCACTTATCATGTTCATTCATTTTCTTTTACTGCACTCTTGCCCCATCATGTTTTCTAGAGGGAGTTTATGCAAAGTTATATGTATGGTGGAAAATTTGACACCACGTTTAAAATCTGATTGTTCATATACATGCAAAAATTGGTCTTCAAGTTTTTTCTTTTTTTGTTTGTTTTTGTTTTCTTGGTCCCAAATGTTTAATTTCGCATAGAAATTGATCTGCAAGTTTTGTCATGCTACCACTGCTCTACTTGTTACTTAAATCATTGATGTACTTTTCTAGGTGGTGACACTGTGGTATAGAGCACCAGAAATTCTTCTCGGATCCCGTCACTATTCTACTCCTGTTGATGTGTGGTCGGTGGGTTGTATATTTGCTGAGATGGTGAACCAGCGACCACTCTTTCCAGGAGACTCTGAGATTGACGAACTGTTCAAGATCTTCAGGTCATACTCATTCAATTCCACCTATGAAGCTCCTTCCTATCTCCTGAAAATTGCAATGTTTAATCAAGTGTAGAATTGTATGAATTTGTTCGCCTATTAATCAGATATTTTAAATGCTCCCCAAATAAAGTAGTCATGATGATATTGGGCAAATAGGCAACTGTAGATTTAAAAATTGCTGATGGAAAAAAAAGCAAAACAAAATGTTGCAATTTTTATAGGATGTAACTGGAATTTTTGTTTATAACATGTTTGTCTTTGGGGATGCCTCTATAGTAAAATAAAGGGTAACTCTGCTACTTCCTTTTATCAGAAGATATCCCTTCCTCACAAATGATATTCAAATTGCTTCTGAATATGATTAGAAAAATTGTAATCATATGTTCCATTAGATCGTGGAACATATTTTATTGTAATGATTGCTAAAGACTCGATCAACCTCTCTTTAATGATCCAAAAGTATGTACACATGTTCTCATCTCATTCATATAATTTCTTTAACTATAGAATCATGGGAACTCCGAATGAAGATACATGGCCTGGTGTGACTTCTCTGCCTGACTTTAAGTCCGCCTTTCCAAAATGGTCCTCAAAGGTGATTAGTCTTTTTTATTCTTTATTTTATTTTTATTTTCACTACCATCAGTGCTTTAGTCTTTGACCTTATCTTCTGCAATGTTTAGGACCTATGATCTTAAAAGGAACTAATTGGTCCTTTAATTTTCAGGATCTGGCTACTGTGGTCCCAAATCTTGATAAAGCCGGTCTTGACCTCTTACGGGTAAGTTTAAACTGATTCTTACTTTAGTTCTCATTGTTGACGGGTTATTGATGCCAGAGGATTACATACTTAGAAAGTTCATGGACTTCACAACACCAGAACTTATTGGAATACTCACTTTGTGTCCTATGGAATATAATGTTTAACCTAGCACAAGTTTTAAGTAAAACGTTTGACCAATTGTCAAATATCTAAAACACCATTTGATCAAAACAAATACCAAGATTCTGATGGATCCCTATCAATGCAAATAATTCACTTGGAATCTACCTGAAAGCAACTTTTGTTGTTTTTCGTAGGACATCCAGAAAAAAACTAAGTATTTCAATTTTTATGGGATGGAGGAAGTAGAAACATGCAGTTAGTAAAATAAGTTTTGGTGACTGAATTATCCAAGTTATTTATTTGCCTATTATGTCTCATGCTCCAACCACTTCACTGGTCTCATTGTTTCCATCAAAACAAAAGTTACTTACCAAAGGGTTATTGGCCCAGAGGTAGCCGCTAGAGCTCAACCTCCCAGGAAGTCAGGGGGTTTAAACCTCACCAAAGACGAGGAGTGTGCATTAGTATTTCCCGTATATCTATACTATATTATAAAGCATTTGGCTAAAACTCTTAAAAACTCTTAAAACTCTTAAACTCTTAAAACTCTTAAACCCGTTCATCCCTAAACAATTTCATCCTTATCCGATTTCATCCCATAACTGAATTCGTGTAACTAACTGCAGA